TCAGCTGGACCTTCAGCCAAAGATCCCGTCCCCCCCTCCCTGCCATGCTATCCTACCACACTTCTCCAGGAGCCCAGCCCAAGGACTCTCCCGCTCCTCTTGTACTCACTATCCCTCATGGTTCTGCATTCAATCACGTACTGCTTTGTTCAGTGGGTGGTTCATGAGTCTTCTTCAAAAGCGTCTTACAGTCAGAGGGAATGAGAGTGGAAGGCATCTAGAAGTCATCCAGTTGGACCCCAGAAAATTGCCAAAAAGGGGGAAATGAATACCTGTCTCTACATCACCTCTTCCAAGTTAGACGATTCTATTTGTCAGGAAGCCCTCCCTTAAGCCGAGACAAAAGTCTCCCTCCTACTAATCTCCATGGAGTTTGGTACTATATCCAGGATGACATAAAATAAACCAGTCCCTCTTCCATGCAGCATCTTTTCAGATCCTTAAAGACAATTGTTGTGCTGCCTCCCCTCCTCTCCTCTCTGGGCTCCTTCCCTTCCCTGGGAGTCTCAATTCCAGTCCAAATAATTCCCTTTATTCCATTCTGCTCACGATGCACAGCCAAAAATTTCTGAACACACCAAAAAAATTAAACATCAGGAATTAGTCTGCTGAAGGTCAAACAGAGTGGCTTAATCACCTCCTTTGTTCTAAGTACCATACCTCTACTAATATGTCCTCCAACCTCACTAGCTTTCTGAAGGCCACATCACACTGTTGATCCACAGTGAGCTTATTAAAATCGAGCTTTATCATCAGGGCACATCTCCCCTTTTTCCTATAAATGCAGTTAGATTTTCAGATTTTTTTTATTTTTATTTTTATTTTTTGCAGAATGTTGCATTTATCCTTGTTAAAATAATCCCTCCCTTCTTTCATTAAACAAGTTGTAAGGAATTCCTTGGAATCCTGTGAGAAACAAAGAAGAATCAGACACCGGTCCTTCATCAAAAAGTGCTAAAGTAGGTAAGGCAAGACCCCCATAAATAACTTTTTTCTAAAGATAAACATTAATGTGCTTTTCATGAATTTTAGTTATGGAACCACGGGAGATCAGAGAAGGAGAAATTTCTACAGAGATCCTCATTCCCCCCAAATTTCACAATCCAGTCTCTTTTTGCTTCTATTTCCCCTCTTCTGTACCCCAACCCTTTTTTGAAATGATATTTATTGTTATTCCACTTGCCCCATAACCTCTTTTTTGTTTTTCCTCTGGGTTCTGGGAGAATGTCTCCATCTTATCACCGATTTCCATTTCTGTGCTACCCAAGGGCCTCCACCGGGGCTTGCGATTTGGCAATCACATCCTTCATCCTGGCTGTGCCTCCTCAGGGTTGCTTGCACCGTTTCCCCAGCTCAGTGTCCCCCGGGGCCTTACTGAGAACACAAATCAGACTTTTTTTTTGCGCTGAGTTTATCTCATCGTTTATTCTACAAGTTTGCTGTGTTCCTCCAAAGGGTTCCCTTCTGTAGAGCTGTGGGTCCTCTGTGCCTCATGCATTCTGCCTGAGCCCAGGCTTCAGAGAGAGATGGATGGAGGTGCGATTTGTCAAAATGATGGGGCCACCTGTTTGAATTTTTCACACACGTAGAGCGATTCGCTCCAGTTGCACTTTGCTAGGTCAGAGGCCCAGCTGCTTCGGCAGAGAGCGCGGTGGGTGGGGAGGAAGAAGGGACAGGCAGCACCACATGCTTTGCAAGCAGCCCCGGGTTTCCTGGCACTGCTGTCCACTCCATGTGCTGGCACTGGAAAGAACTGCTCCCCAAAGATTCTAGAGAGCTGGCAAAATCTCAGTGTTTCTCTCCCTTCCTGGCCCCACATGCACCCTCCCCACATGCACCCTCCTCTCCAGCCCTGACCCTCGGATTAGGTGGCTATTGGTGAGGGCCTAAGCCTCTTCCATTCCCCAGGCAGGCGGTTCCTTTACGTGTGTGTGCAATAGATGGGGAAGTCATTTACCAGAATTCCTCTTAGGGATAGCACTGGGTCTGGATGCGAGTCCAAAGACATATCCCTATTACTAAAGGCGATTGCTCAATGTTGAACCATGAGACAGGGATAGGAATTTGTTTTGATCCTGAGATGTATTGGGGCGGGGGCCGGGGGCGGGGGAGAGGAAGGGCAGAGGAGAAAGAAGTCGTAGAGATGGCAGAAACCCATGCACGGTACCATGGCACCAGCCTCATGACCTTCATTCACCTCTTCAGTTACGGCCGAGTTTCTCAATGTCAACACTATTGACATTTGGGGCTGGGTAATTTTTTGCCGTGGAGGGCAGTCCTGTGTACTGCACCATCCCCGATCTTTTTTTTTTTTTTTTAATATATTTATATTGATTTCAGAGAGGAAGAGAGAGGGAGAGAAAAGGAGGTAGAGGAAGAGACAGAAAGAGGGAGACAGAGGGAGAGAGGGAGAGAGAGGGAGAGAGAGAAACATCAATGATGAGAGAGAATCATTGATAAGCTGCCTCCTGCACGCCCCCTACTGGGGATCAAGCCCGCAACCCTGGGCATGTGCCCTGACTGGAATCAAACCGTCATGACTGGTTCGTGTGTTGACGCTCAATCACTGAGCCACACCAATCAGACACAGCATCCCTGCTCTTTACTCACAGATGCCACTAGCACCCCTCCTCCCGCTGGGACAATCAAAAATGTCTCCAGATGCTGCCAATGCCCCCGGGGTAAGACAACTAAATTCCCCACGTGCTGGTCTAAGTGAATTATTTGTGAAAAGCATCAAAGGGTTTGAGTTTCTGGCCAGGCTGATATGGACCAGGCTGGGGCCGTGTGAGGGCCTGAGGCAGAAGGGATCATGAGACTATAAACCCTAGGGATTTGCAGATAGTGTGGGTCCTGCTTTGAAGTTTTACTGGCCATGGTGTCTGGGGGCAGGGAGTCTGCCTGAGTCAGCATTATCCCTCCCTCTAATCTGCTCAGGTCTGAGCTGTAAACAGAGAGATGCCTCCGGGTTCCTGGCTCGTGGTCATCCATCTTCCTTAGTTTCCAGCTCTAACCCAGGCTGTTCCCACTCCTTTCGTGGGAATCTGGGCAAGAGCTAGGCATCATCCCACCCGGAAGTTGTCCTGTTGTCCATCTGCACGCCAGTCTTGTGTTTCCTCCTGACAGAGGCACCAGTGGGCACTTACACTGGCACAAATGATGTGTCAGTAAGACGGGCATCATGGGGCTTCAGGACAATTTTTATTTTCAGGTTGAAGCAAAGCAATGTTTTTGCGGGGGTGGTTTCCTTCAAGATAGACATGTCCTGAAAACTTTTGTTGTGGTTTAGGCTTGTCCATGCTTAGTTCCCAGGGATGGGGGCCTCTGTCCATGTCAGTGATGGCAAACCTATGACACACGTGTCAGAGGTGACACGCAAAGTCATTTCTTTGGTTGATTTTTCTTTGTTAAATGGCATTTAAATATATAAAATAAATATCAAAAATATAAGTCTTTGTTTTACTATGGTTGCAAATATCAAAAAAATTTCTATATGTGACTCGGCACCAGAGCTAAGTTCGGGTTTTTCAAAATGCTGACACGCCGAGCTCAAAAGGTTCACCATCACTGGTCTATGTCCTTCTCTCCGGGGAGCATTTGAACCGGTCTGTTCTACATGGGGCCCACCTACTTGTGTTCGATAAGAGCCAAGATCCTTCGGATTTCCCCAAACCACTTGCTTCTTTCCTCTGCTGGGTGCCTATTCTCCACCAGATGCCTAGACATCATGGTGGTTTACTTGTTCATTCAAGTCAAATTAGCAAATACATGTTGAGGGGCTGGAGCAGAATGAGGAGGACTTGGAAACCATGACTGCACCATTTATTGAGGGATTACATGTACCCTCCAATGCTTTAGGGAATTCATTCAATGGGAAAATGCCATTTTAAAGATGAAAAGACTGAGGTCCAGAGAGGTCAAGTAACTTGCCTGTTGTCACAGGGTTAGTGACTGAAGGATCTGACTGCTAACTAACCCTTCCTCTCTTCAATACTGTACATGACAGGAAAGAGGCAAGTAACAGTTACAATTTTGTGAGTTTTGGTCACAGTTAGCCTACCTTTATGGAGAATTTGCTTTAACAAATAATGGGATTGTTATTTTCAAAATTCTACCCTTCGAACAGATTCCCAGAGATGGAATTCGGGGCCAAAGGTAATGAACATATTTTCAAGGCTCCTGGTACATCCTGCCAAAGTCCCTTTAAAAAACAAAACGAAAAAAAACTTTGCTCTTTTGATAGGTGAAATAGGCTGTCTTCTCATTTTATTGTGTGTTCTCTCTTTATCTCTAAAGTTGAATATTCTTTCACATTTATTGGGTGTCTGCACTTTTGTTCAACTCTTTGTCTATTTTCTCAGTGAACTCTTTCCTTAGTGTTTTATAAAGTTTGCTTGTAAAATAAGGTTATTCAGTCTTTATCATAGTGTTACAATATTTTTGCCAGTTTGTCACTTGCCTTTTTATTGTTTAGTGTTTCTTTAGATACATAAGCATTTCTTTTATTTTATTGAAAAAGCTCATTCTTTTTCCTAATAATTTATTCTATTGATGTGGTACTTAGAAAGTACTCAATTCTGATATTTTCTTCTGCTTATAGGAGGCTTTGTGTTTGAGTTCTATGTTAATCCATATGTAATATGTTTCTCTGTGTGTGTGTGTGTTGTTTTTTTGTTAATCCTCACCGAGAGTGGGAGAGAGAGAGAGAGAGAGAGAAAGAGGGAGAGAGAGGGAGAGAGAGAGAGAGAGAAACCTGAGGATGAGACACATCCATTGGTTGCCTCCCACACACACCCTAAGCGGGGCCAGGGATCAAACCTGTCACCGAGGTACATGTCCTTGACTAGAATCAAACCTTCAACCCTTCAGTCTGAGGGCCGGTGCTCTATCCACTGAGCCAAACCAGCGAGGGCTGTCATATGTTTTTATACACCAGATGAGATTCTATCTTCAACCGTTTACAAATAACCAATGTTTCCATAACTTTTTGCATAATCCAGATCTTCCCTCATTGTTCCTTTATGATCCATTAAGTACTTAATTGGTTTGTCGTCTCTTTTAGGTTACCTATTTGGTTCTGTCTATCCATTGAACAATTCTTATGCCCAGAGCATCATCTTTTAAAGTAGCTTTCTGATCTCCTGAAATATTTAAGGCTCTTTCCTCTCCGCATCATCCTTTCCCAACACTTCCTGAGCTCTGCTGCATGCTTATTTTACCAAAGGAACTTTAATCATTTTGTCATCATATCATTTTTCTTCAAGAGAAATATCTCCATGAAGGTTGGTTTGGTTTAGCTACCTGCAGTTTCCTCACACTGACTCTGGGCTCATTAGCTCCCCTTTGTTTCTGCCTAGAATTCCCTTCCCTCTCCAACCCCGCCCCACCCCCAACCCCCACCCCAATCAGCCAGGTAACTCTGGCCACTGGTTCAATTGCTCCGTTCTTCATCTGTCTGTCCCATGTCACCCTCCCCCTGCCACCGCCCCCTCTCAACCAGAAGTGTCTCAGGAACAGAAGCAGAGTTTTATCCTCACCCTCAGCCCAGCAGTCCTCCTTCTAGCAAAAGGTGTCGAATAAAAGAAAAGGTTGAAATAGAACCAGGTGGAGGCGGATGTGGGAGGTGAGTGTCAGCCCTGATCTTGAGGGCGCCTCGGGGTGCTTAGCTGGGCCCTCCTGAACTCAGAACACGCCCACCCCCTTCCTATTCTCTTGGCTCTTTCCAAAAACGTCCATCCTTCTGTGCTCCACTCTGACCTGCAGGACTGCGTCCACACACCCACGGGGAAGGGATATTATGAGATGATGGCTGTTAGGGACCCAAGTCAAAGACGTAAGGAACTACATTTTAATTTCAACAAGCACAACGTGTGAATAAACACTGCCATGCTTTATGGCTCTAAATCTGTCGCTAAATTCCTTGCTTCTCTACGCATCAGAAGCCCAATAAACAAAGTCTGCAGTGTGCCAATAGCTACTTTGACTGTCATTTGAGATATTCTGAATGATCCATAGCCTTTCTGCTGAGTCCAGCCACGGAAGGACTTTCAGTCTACAGCATTCATCTGAAAACCCACAACTCTGGCGGTCATCAGAAACGCTTGGGAGAAGAAGAGATCCCTCCGGGAACACCTGGCGCTGAAACAGATGCAGCAGGATGATGGTGGCAGCATCCTTCCAGACGGTGAGTGTGAACACCGAGCCGGAGGCTGGCTGCTTATGCTTACACCCGTCCTCATGCAGCTCAAAGGCGCAGGGAAGATCTTGCTCTTGAAAGGGAATGACTGTCTCCTTAGGGACGCTTTGGACTTGAAACAGAAGGCAAGCCATCTTCCTCCTTAATGACACTCTTAGCCAAAGAGGCTTCACTTGTCTTGGGTAAACAATTCCCACCCCTTCTACACTGACACACACGCTGTGGTACAAACGAAGTGGTAGGATGGTCCCTCGTCCGTGTGTAGGCGCGCTAAGTTTTCAAATCTGTACCCAGCTTTTGTGCACAGGCTACCTGCCCCGTGCTCGGGCCCTATATTTAGGCCGAGGAGCCAGGCTCTGCTCGCGTGGTAGGACTGAGAACGCTGCTTACATATCTCACCCAAGCCCGCACGCCCACACCCAACTGTCACAGAGCCTGAAATTCCTACCAGGAGAGTTGCTACTTTTGGTCGAGGGCTTCAAGAAAACCCTTGCGCAAATATAAATGTAATAAGCAAGGCGCGTTCTGGGATACTCGGTTGTGAGTAGCATTACCCTTCTTTATTTTGCTATTGCAAATTTTAAAAAGTGCCGGATGGCTTATCAAGAATTGAGGAGGGAAGTGGAAATAGTACCTTCACAGTGGTGAGACATGGCAGGCACCACCTTCACCCAGGGAGGAGGGCTAACGTGAGCCATGATGTCACGTGGGTATCATGGACCCTCTGATGTGATGTGATGTGATGTGATGTGATGTGATGTGATGTGATGTGATGATGTGATAAAACCTTGTGTATTCTCCCCCAAACTCCTTATCGCGAGCCTAAATCCTGAGAAAAAAAATATCTGACCAACCGAGTTTGGGAGGCATTCTACAGGAGAGCTGGCTGGTACTCTTTAAGAATGCCAAGGTCATGAAAAACTAGGGAAGACTGAAAAACTGTCACAGCATAGAGGGTACTGGGTGGTGGTTAAAGGCATGATCTCCCTGGAGGAAATCCTGGAACAGAAAGAGGACATGAGTGGAAAGACTGGTAGCATCCACATAAAGTTTGGAGTTTAGTTAATATAATGTACCCATGGAGATAGAACATGTTCACAATGGGGCAAATTGGATAAGGGTCCCTGGCTGGGTTGCTCAGCTGTGAGAGCTTCAGCCCGGGACTGGAGAGTTGAGCCTCCTTCCATCTGGCCAGCCTTGGATGAGAGCCTCTTCAACCCCCCTTTTAGCCCATAGAGCCCTCATCACTCCAGGGCATTGAACCCTGTACTCCTGCAGAGACTGTTGAAAAGAAAGGCATCCACCCGGCCACTGTGGCTCAGTGGTTGAGTGTTGACCTATGAACCAGGAGGTCATGGTTTGATTCCTGGTCAGAACACAAGCCTGGGTTGTGGGCTCGATCCCCAGCAGGGGGTATGCAGGAGGCAGCCGATCAATGATTCTCATGATTGACGTGTCTATCTCTCTCTCCCTTCCTCTCTGAAATCAATAAAAATATTTTAAAAGGGCAGAAAGGCATCAGTGCTCCTCTGAGACAGGAGAAGCCCAGGTAACCAGGACACAGAGCCTGGCTCCTCCCTTGGCAGAAGAAGGGAAACAAATGCCTCCCATTTTTTCCTGATGAGCTCACAGCTGAGCAAAAAAGGGGCATAGTTCACTCTCAAGCGGGTTACTCCATCACCTTAGATGTGCAAAACATGGTCTTGCGTCACTACCACGTGGAGGGTGACACATTACACAGTAATGGGAAGAAGTGGCACCAGGCCCTGTACGGCCCACCCCACCCCCAAGAGGGTGATGGAGAATAACGAAAGGGTGGAAGAGTCCTTTCCATAAATGGTCAGCAGGAGCCCTTTCCAGGGTGTCAATGGGAATAGCCAAGAGAGGGTAGTGTGGGCCTTTTACTAATTGTGGGACTCCAAGGTGCCCATTCTGCATAAAGATAAGGCTCACTATTCCTGAAGGAAAAGAGCCTTGCATGTGTGAGAATTTTTTTCTTTCTTTCTTTCTTTCTTTCTTTCTTTCTTTCTTTCTTTCTTTCTTTCTTTCTTTCTTTCTTCCTTTGCTTTCCTTTGCTTTCTCTTCTCTCTCTCTCTCTCTCTCTCTCTCTCTCTCTCTCTCTCTCTCTCTCTCTCTCTGTTAACCCTCACCTGAGGATTTTTTCTTCCATTGATTTTTTAGAGAGAATGAAAGGGAGGATGAGGAGGAGGAGGAGGAGAGAGAGAGAAACATCGACGTGAGAGAGACACATTGACTGCCTCCCTCATGTGCCCCAATTGGAGTCTGCAATGGAGGTATGTGCCCTTGAACCCTCAAACCTGAGACCCTTTAGTCTGCAGGCCGATACTCTGACCACTGAGCAACCAGCTAGGGGAGAATTTTCTTTCTTAATATGAGTCTACACTATACTTTCCCCTTGAGGAATAGTTCAAGGTGCCACCACTTTGCTCCTGGATACCCGAGGAGGTTGTATCTACCTTGCCCGTCTTGCCCACACCCCAATACCTGTCCCTCCTTTGGAGATATGCATGAGCTTGCTCTAAGAGTCAAAGAATCCAAGGTGCCAGCCATGCCCACGGCAGAATTGGGAACAAGGAGACGCGGCCTAGAGGACTCAGTTACCTTGGGGTCTGGACCAGCTGTTTACACATCACTGACCATCAGGCTGAAGCGCTAGGTGCCACTCCAGACCGAAGACTGACTTGACCACAAGCAGCTGGGTACAGTGTTGGGGAGCCTGAGCCCCTTCCATTGGACACAGTTGGGTTTCCCAAAAGAGGTAGAGGGGGGTTCACACAGGGATCTTTGGAGAAGGAAGAGCAAGCCGAGGACCGGAGGAGGCTGGCTAGGACTTGGGGGCATGCTGGCTAGAACGATGGCCACTACAGCCAGCTAATGAAGGGAGGATCCAGAAGTTAATCCAATGTGAGGAGCAGTTACAGGGCAAGCGTAGTCTCTTTGCCGGGAGAGAAGGCAGTGGAGCATCGCCGGGCACAGCTCTAGAACTGATTTCGGGGGGTGTTGCTGGCTGCAGAGCCTCCTAGCTCACGCTCCAGCTCTCCTGGGATTCTAGACGTCATCTCCTACACTTTGTACGTTCCTTTCTGCTTTAAGGGAACAGTCTCTGTAATTTGCCGTTAAAAAAGCCCGATTGAGCCCTGGCCATCATGGCTCAGTGGTTGAGCATCGACCTATGAACCTGGAGATCACCGTTCAGTTCCTGGTTGGGGCACGTGCCCGGGTTGTAGGCTCGATCTCCGGTGTGCAGTGTGCAGGAGGCAGCCAATCGATGATTCTCTCTCATCATTGATGTTTCTCTCTCTCTCTCCCTCTCCCTTCCTCTCTGAAATCAATAAAAATATATTTTAAAAGAAAAAAAAGGAAGCCCTATTGACACACGCTAACTACTTTTATTTGAAATGTTCATAAGAAGCCTGATTAACACACGCTAACTACTTTTATTTGAAATGTTCATTGACAAATGTCACATGGAAATGATTCCCTGGAGCCTGGAAACCGTGGATCAAATGGATGTCACAGAATCAGGCTGCTGTTTAGCAAGAGACTGAAAATGTTTTTGTTCCTCCTTTCATCATGCATATTAAATAGCCTGATCTTGCCTGACTTCAGAGCCCCCGAGACTCAGAAACCACCAGTAAGCACAGGAGGCTTGCGAGTTAGATTGAACTGCCTTTGCTGGGTTCGGCCTGTGGTTTTCCTCCTACACTGAAATGTGAAGAGTGGGGGAGGGGGTAAGCTCTGTCCTGTGTTGCTGCTGATGTTGTTAACCAAGGATCTAAGGCTGTTTGGTATTTTTGGCTTCATCATTCCAATTTGCAGCCCCCTTTTGGAAATAAAGCGAGATTGAAGTCCAACAGAAAGGAGTTTCTGAGCCACAGAGCAGTCTTCTGGTCCAAGGTAAAAAGTGAGATTCCCGAGGTCTCGCTTCTTCCCGTCCGAGTTTGCTTGTCGCGTGTAGCAAGCTGTACTTCCCTGGTGCACTTTTTGGTTTCCTTCCGGTCTTAGTACTTACTGTAGGCAAGTGTCTGTTGCAATGATTGCAGTATTGGCCTAGTGACTGCGGACTTTTCACTTCTTCTTGGCAACTTCTGTGCAGGAGACTTCAACTCAGGACCACTTTGCTCTTGGATACCCAAGGAGGTTGTATCCATCCTGCCCGTCTTGCCCACACCCCTTTGTATGACATAGAACCCAAAAGAGAAAGGGTTTCCGTGGCTGAGGTGGGAGATGTGGGTATTACACTCCTTGTTCAGCTTTGAAGTTTCCAAATTCGAGAGAGATCAAAGGTACATGACGGTATCATTTTACTCTCTCTGAGCTAAGGGCCCTTTCCAGCACAGCTTGGAGATCCTGTGGTTTTCCTGCATATTTTCTTTATGCAAGGACAGGTACACACTTTTCTAGCCTGTGTGTGTGTGTGTGTGTGTGTGTGTGTGTAACAGGTCCTTGTTCTTCAGAGATCTTAGACATGCCTCACTCTATCACAGTGATTCTTTCTTTCTTTCTTTCTTTCTTTCTTTCTTTCTTTTTTAGAGAGAAGAAGGGAAAGGGAGAGAGGGGAGACAGAGAAATATTGATCAGCTGCCTCCTGCACTCCCCCTACTGGCGATCAAGCCCACAACCCAGGCATGCGTCCTGACCAGGGATTCGAACTGTGACCCCCTAGTACATGGGATGACATCCATCCACTGAGCCATGCCAGCGGATAATTTACTAATTACTAAATAATTTTAGCAATTAGTTTATGTGTGCCCATGAGATTAAAAAAAAAGGTTGAAAATCGCTGTTCTATCAGATATTCAGTCTCTAAGAATGAAAGAACCTGAATTTTTTTTTCAGCCTGAGTGGCCCCAGTTCTAAACCTAGAATGATCTCCAAGTTCATCTGAAACCTGCAGTCCTTAGCAGCCTTCTGTGATTGAGGAAGGAAGAAGCAGGGGGAAGTTATTGAAGGCAAGGAATATTTTTGGTGAAGCTCCCTTAAGCTGTGTAGCAAACAAAGTCAGAGTCTTCTTCTGCTTAATGAAATTTCCCGTTGAACTCAGCAAGCCAGCTTGCCATTTTGCATCATCTGCAGACAATGGATCACCCTAACCCAGCACCTAGCAGGGTAGGTGTGGAATCAGTGGTGGTAGGTAAATAAATGAACAACGACTTGCAATTATCACTCTGGACTCAAATTCTTAAGAAGGCATGATATCCAGTAGCACCTGTGCAAATTCATCTTTTCATGGGGAACTTGGCCTCCAAACCTTGAGTGTATTACAGAAATGTGACCTTCACACAGGCCCATAAGACACATTGTCCTAAGCTGCCCACCCACCCCTGTAGGCTGACAACTTGCCTTTGTAAGCATTTGACGCCCTCCAAAGTCCCTTTTCTTACTTTCTATCTCATCTGAGTCTAAAAACAAGGGCAAGTTTTATTCCAGTTTTACCAGAAAGTGTTATGGGCTGAATTATGTCCCCAAATGTGTTGAAGCCCTAATCCCCAAGACCTCAGAATGTGACTATATTTGAAGAGAGGGCATTAAGGTGATCCTAATCTAATACGATTGGTGTTCTTTTAAGAAGAAGATATTAGGGGGGAGAGAGAGATCAGTCAGGTGCACACACAGGGATGATCATGTGAGGGCACAGCAAGAAGGTGGCCATCTGCAGGCCAAGGAGAGAGGCCCGGGGAAGGGGGGAGGGGGAGACTATCACCAACACCTTGACCTTTGACTTCTAGCCTCCAGGACTGTGAGTCAATACATTTGTGTCGTTTAAGCCATCCGGTCTGTGGAATTGTTTTATGGCAGCCCTAGCAAACTAATACAGGCTCAAAGGGGCAGAGAACTGTAGTCCACCGGCCCCAATTTGAACGTCCTTTATCAAGTAAAACAAAGAATTTAGGGAGGGAACCCCTGCCTCTTAACTGTCCCTCTGTCATGGGTCTCTGACCCATGTACCACTTCATCACTATTTAATTGCCCGAGAGATCATATGCACACAGACACAAATTAGAATGTTCCTTTCATGTCAGGGGCCTTGGGGTTCACTTAGTATTTACAGCAAAATATTCCTTGGATCCTAGGCAGCACTGGAAAGCAAGTCAGGGTCCCCTGTCCCCACTGGAAAAGAAGCTAACACATCCCTTCTTCTCCATCCTTATTTTTCCAATAGTCACATTTCTGACATCAGCAACACACAGGGAATGACCAAGATTGTGAGAGCAATTAGACTTTTCCAGGGAGACCTAATTCTGATTGAAACAGACTTGTTTCCTTTGGGGGATAATGAGGTGCACCCCCCCCCCATACACACACTCAGAAGGGGCCGCTCCCTCAGAGACAGCCACGTCTTTACTCCTACTGTGAATGCCTCCCAGGCTGGACTCCCTCCCGGGGGCTCTCTGAGTGGTTGCAGCAGTGTTTTCTGCTTTGCATCCTGAAACGGAACCGAAACTTGGGCGTGAGCAATGTTTTGCATTATGAGCCCATTTCCCCTTCGACTCCCCGCCCGGGGAGGGAAGGCTCGCGGTGTCCCAGCTGGGCCTGACCTCTGGGGAATGTCTCACAGCCCAGGGAACAAGCAGCCTGGGTCCTGAAGCCACAGCGCTGGAACCAGTGGCCCAGGAGCCAATGCTATTCTGGGCAGAACACTCCCCCTGCCGAGAGGCCAGGGGAAGCATTTGTCAGGGCGGCGCAGGGCAGGGGCAGGAGGGCGGCTGACTTTCCCAGCAGGCAGTGGTCAGGCACTACCTGGCCAAAATAGTAACTGCTGAAAGTGACAATGACATAACCCATGCGCAGCCACGGCTGGGAGGTCACATTCTGGTTCCCCAGCCCAGCTCTGGCTAAGGACCGCCCTGGATGAGGACTCCACACCCTGCCCAGCTCCAAGACCAAGACCAAGGAGCGATCCTGAGAATTTGCATTCCCGTTCATTCATTTAAGTGCTGTCTATTAACTGGATTCATTAAACATATGCCTCGTGCCTTCATTATTATCATTATTATAGTTTTCCGGGATGATCGTAAGATCCTTATCAAGACACACACAACTGGCAAGCATTCCAATCGTGCCCACAGAGGCCAGCCTCACCTCCGTGACCTCCAATTCAAGTGGAGAAGTCAGTGTCCCACCCAGACCGTGCCTGAGGGCTTGGGGGGCATGTGAGTGTCACCTATGCCGGGCTGTGGGTAATGCAGCCGTTCCCTCTCTCCTAGGGACCCATGAAGTAAAGGCAAGTTTGAGTCTGCTGATCCCAAGCACCGTAAAATGAGGCGTGGGGACCTGGGGGCAGGGTGATCGTCCGTCCTCTAAACAGCCCTCTCTGCAGGAGGAAGCCTTGCTGCAGAGCCCTCAAGACAGTGGTTCTCAACCTGTGGGTCGCGATCCCTTTGGTGGTCGAACGACCGTTTCACAGGGGTCGCCTAAGACCATCCTGCATATCAGATATTTACATGACGATTCACAACAGTAGCAACATTACAGTATAGAAGTAGCAACGAAAATAATGTTATGGTTGTGTCACAACATGAGGAACTGTATTTAAAGGGCCAGAAGGCTGAGAACCACTGCCTTAAGAGGAAAACCACATCTGTCACTCAACATGACGAGTTTGCACACTTCCTGGTACGCCGGGCATGGCTATCAAAGCCCCAGAAATGTGCCGAGCTGCACAAGCCACTATTACCCTACACCCAATGGAAGTGGCTCCTTGGGAAGAATTTTCCAGATATCAAACCAGAAACCCTCTGGAAACAGGAGAGAGAGAAACGAGTGCAGATTTCCTTTCTAGAGAAGAGCCGAGGCTCCCTGGACAGGAAGGAGCTGGCCAACCCCTCCTGAGGGGCCCCGGGCCACAGGCTGAGACAGGGCCGCAGGGGCACTGATGGAGGTGAAATGAAGGCAGGGCAGGGGTTCAAGCCCTGGGGAATCTGTGAGTGATGGCCTGGGAAGTGAGAGGGCTCACGGATGCAGATATGGGCAGAATTCAGTGGCTGGCAAGTGCCCAAGGGGAGCTGGACCCAGTTGCTCTCCGCTTCCAGGGCCCCTTTCAAAGTCCTGCTTAGACACTTGGACAAAGAGATGAGCCAGAGCTCAGAAATGAGGGTGCGGCTCCTCCCCTGCCTTTTAGTTCTCCGAAGCCTTGGCTCCCGGCCTCTGCCGCCCCTGACCGTGGGCAGGCTCGCTTTCGGCTTCCTTTGATTCATAGGTGGCTGCCTTGCCAATAACCCCTTATAGGAAGCAAGAGGAACTCAACACCCCGCTCCCAACTTGCGGGGGACAGAGGAGCGCGTGTAGGGTTTCTTTAAAGAAGGAAATGACTGCACTGACTTAATTTGGAAGCCCCTGAATTTAATCTGCCCTTAATGTGAAAGCTGGGTTTTCTCTCCCACTTTCTTCCTGGGGCCAAGAAACAGCTCCTCCCAGCTCCGTTTGTGGGGGGCTGCGCAGACAGAAAATGCTTCGCCAACATCTCAGCTAACACCCAAGATGACATGCCCACAGAAGAGACGAAGACACTGAACAGACCTGGGACACACAGGGGGCTATTCGCTCACAGTGGCTCAGGGCACAGGGAGGAGAAACGGGGTCTGCACTCTCAGTTGCCACCTCCAAACCCAGCTTTGTCACACCCAGAAGGTGTCCTTTTAGACTCCAAGGTCTTCTTTATGTCTCTACATAGATCCTTCTCAGGTCGCACACCCTGCTGTCATCTTAGCCCTGGTCCCATCTCTAGTCAGCATTTGCTAGGAATAAAAGGGGGACACGCCCTTCTCAAACCAAGGACCTCAATGATCTACCTTGATTTTTCTCCGCAGATTGGAACAATTCACTGCATGGCTATCAGTGACAGAGGGAAAGTGTGGTTGTTGTAGGCGAATTATACTGAATTCAAGAACATTCTAAATCCTGAAGCAGAACCCGCTGGCTTTCTGCCTTGCAGGATGGTAACATGACATTAAAGCAGCTCTTTCTCCAGGAAGGCATTTCCTCTCTCCTTACAGGGCTGCTTGATCAACCTCCTCCTGAACTCAACATATCTGAGCCAGAGCTCAGAAATAGAAAGACCACCGTCCAGTGCAGACTCCGAACCCTACCTGCTACAAAATGAAAAGTAAGATGCATTGAGTAAATCCCTCAAATTTAGTTTGAACTAGCCTCCCTGATTTTGGAGTGTTAGAAATTATGTTCAGTACCTGGCTGGTATGGCTTAGTGGTTGAGCGTCGACCTTTGAACCAGGAGGTCACAGTTGGGTTACAGGTCAGGGCACATGCCCGAGTTGCAGGCTCGATCCCCAGTGTGGGGTGTGCAGGAGGCAGCCAATCAATGATTCTCTCTCATCATTAATGTTTCTCTCTCTCCCTCTCCCTTCCTCTCTGAAATCAATAAAAATATATTTTTAAAAAGAACAAACTATGTTGACTATCCACAAAGGACGATTTCTCAGATTAAGAAGTTAAATGTTGATAGCAGTAGAGCTTAGAGTGAGTGGGGAGGTTGAGACGTGGATCTGCCTGACATAAAGGATGGTGCCATCACAGCGCAGTGGTCTCGCTCTCTCCAACAAGTGCCCTCGAGGCACCTGCAAGAACCCTGCCCTTTCTTCCCAATGTCCAGCGCAAGGAGACTTGAAAATACAATTTTCAAGATCGGGAAGCTTTGGATAGTTTTTGCTTAGGGATCTGGGCACCAGTAGAATCACTCTCATGAAATGCTAGGTTGCTAGAGCTGCCGGTCCAAGGCCACGCACTCTTCTGGGGGCTGTGTATGCGGAAAGACAAGGACTAAAGGCCTAAGTTACAGGAATGGTCTCAGGATCCTGCAGACAGACACCCAGTGATGAGGCCAAGGGAGGTGCACCCACATTAGTCTGTGACGAATGGCTGGTTTCTTAGCAGTTCTCTGCCCCCTGGTGGCATTTAGAGGCTAAACTGAAGTCCCAAAGAACTTCCAAGGAGTTCCTAGTCAGGGAGGACTCATCCTCAAGACTTTCAGGACTTATCGTTTTAACTCAGACACATTTTGTGAGACCTGACTCCGGGTCTGCTGGTGTGCTGGGCGATGGCCTGAGGCCGCAGTACGGTGAACACTTTACCTGATAACTTACAGCAGGTGACAGCTTGTTCCTTCATAATAATGTGATCCACCCACAAAGCCTGCACACACACACACACACACACACACACACACACACACCAGCGGGAGACAAGGCGTTCCACAATAACCCCATGGCTGCGGCTGTGCCTTCACCGTTTGGAATGCTTTTACAATGATACAGCCAAGTCTGCAGTTACGTCGTGCTGTTTGCACGCAGCCTTTGGCCTGGTACCTTGCACTGTTCTCAAGCCTGGAAGAGCCAGGTGCAGTGTCGTTCTAACTCTCTCCCACTGCAGTAGCTAACACGTAGCCAGCGCTCACACCATGTGGCCGAGTTATGGATGGGCTCTGGGCAAATCAATCAACTGAAGTAGTTCATGCAAAACGTTTTCTATATCATTAGGTTTTTAGCAAAATTTCTGCCAAGGGAGCTTTTCAGTCCAGGAAACAAAATTTGTTTACATATAAAGATATATTTGCAAGTAGAAGATGAATTTAGACATATCATTCAAAGCAGTCCCAAGACAATGCTGTTTTCTGCCACATAATTAGATGCAACAGCAAAACTCTGTTTCCTTTCAGCGAAAACATGGTCCAGTACAAAGGGTGGTCCATGGCCAGGGTGGATCTTTGTCTTGCGAAGTCAGGGGCTACCCCCACATCCTGTCAGGCAAAGCGAGAGAGCATTCCCAGGGACCCTGACACCCTGGCAAGCAATACCTGACATTTTTCTGTACTAGAATAATCCCAGTATAGCGGTCTTTTCCAATGACCTGCAGAGTAAACTGTGTCTTGGGCTGCACAGATTAATCTGAACTACCCAGGGAAAATGTGCCCAGTACCAACATTTATTGTGATCGTGTTTTGCCCGAGTTAATTTTTTTTCTTTTTTTAAAAAAAATATATTTATTGATTTCAGAGAGGAAAGGAAATGGAGAGATAAACATCAATGATGAGAGAGACTCATTGATTGGCTGCCTCCTGCACATCGCCTACTGGGGATCGAGCCCACAACCCAGGCGTGTGCCCTGAGCCGGAATCGGACCGTGACCACCTGGTTCATAGGTCAACAATCAACCACTGAGCCACACCAGCTGGGCATAGCAGTTAATTTTTTTTAAGTCATTAGACTCACTAGTGCTCATCTTCCAGCCCCTTTCCTGATTTTTATCAGCGGCAGGTGTAGTAAATTTGGGGCCATCGCAAAAGATTAGTGAGGCCCCAGCACGATGACTCACAAATACATGAAGCATTCCATATGTTTAAGATACTTTGTAAACCCTAGGCAACCACTAAAACATTTTTAAAAGAGGCATCACTCATAATGGAGGTATGATTGAATCATACAAAAATATTCAATCCAGCCCTGGCCAGGTGGCTCAGTTAGTTGGAGCGTCATCCGGTACAACAAAAGGTTGCAGGTTTGATCCCCAGTCAGGACGTGTATGGGAGGCAACCCATTGGTATTTCTCTCACGCATTAATGTTTCTCTTTCTTTCTTTTTTTAAAATAAATTTTTATTGATTTCAGAGAGGAAGTGAGAGGGAGAGATAGAAACATCAATGATGAGAGAGAATCATTGATTGGCTGCTTCCTGGACGCCCCCCCTACTGGGGATCGAGCCGGTACCCCGGGCATGTGCCCTTGACTGGAATCGAACCTGGGACATTTCAGTCTGCAGGCCGATGCTTTATCCACTGAGCCAAACCAGCTAAGGCAATGTTTCTCTTTCTTAAAAAAAAAAAAAAAAAATCAGCTCGTGTACAGGAGGCAGCCAGTCAATGATTCTCTCTTATCATTGAAGTTTCTGTCTCTTCCTTTCCCTTCCTCTCTGAAACCAATTTAAAAACATTTTTAAGACAATCAGGAAGAGGAAACAAAAAGAATGGCAACAAGCCTCCAGCTAAGAGTTTGTTAAATCACACATACTCGCACACACGTCCTCTTTAACAGATTATTGGTCTTGCTTAATCTATGTTAGTGTAAAGAAAAAGAACCCAAAGATGATGTTAATCCGATCAGGGAGGCATGAGAACGTTGACTTTGGGGAGATAGCGGAGGACAGAGAAAGGTATCCCCAAACTGGGTTCAAATTCCAGCTCAACAAACCCTGAGCAGGAAGATGCTGTGAATGAGGCTTGGTGCCTGTTTCCCGCCACACGGGGTCCTCTGAGCCTCGCTGGAAGCCGCTAATTGGTATTTGCTCCCTGTCCCTGCCTTTACATGTTTACCTTTCAAATTTGTGTTCCTTAGCATTCCAAAGGGAAACAAGCCCTCTTAAAACACAAAAGCAGTGCAGTGCACTGTGTCTGACCTCTGACCAGAGTCGCTCCTAACTGCCACTTGGCTTTTTAAGTAAATAGAGCATTGGGTAAATTCTTAAAACACAGTGCTAATCCCTCCACACGCAACGATCCCAAAGCAACACAACAACAAAACACAAAATTCAGGAACAAGCTTTGTTCAGAGCCCAAGGCAGCACCCTCCTTTGACACGGACTCCTTAGGGACCTGTGTTTTGGGAGAAGCGAGATCTTTGAGGCTCCTCCGGTGGGAGCAGTACAATGAAAGTGTCTCTCCAGGCGGTGGGCAGAAACGCAGCTCAAGACCAGAGCAAGGTGGTGGGCATTTGCGAGTTCTTGGCTAGTCAGCGTTCATAAAGGACCGGCCTAAGGAACAGGTAGCAAGGCAGCTTTAACTGGTATTTCTTGGGACAAGCGAAGTGGGAGAAGGCTGAATTCACATCATACACACGACTTCCTGCCCTTGGGCCTTTAATTAGCTATGAAACAAAAACTACATAGTGAACTGGATGGCGTGGAAAGCCATTCTAGTATGTAATATATTTCCCAAGCTAATGTTACTAGAGATTGACTATCCACAAGTTAAGTACTTTATTTCAGTGGATCCTAGACTTTCAACAAAACACTTTGTGCAATGATAGAGAAACCTCTCTTATAGGTAACAGCCTTTCTCCTTTTTTCGAGGGCAATTAGGGGCATTTGTCTGACTGGCAAAAAGCAAGGCGTTTGGGCAATCAAAAAAAAAGGGGGGGTGTTGAAAATTCCTCAGAAATAGAACACTTCTTAAACGTATGCTTCTTTTTAAAATATGAGAATCAGGCTTCAAGTCAAGATGATGGTGTAGGTAAATGTGATACTCTGAACTTCTCACATCAAAAATTACCACTAAGCTACAGAGCAGTAATCACTCAGAACACCTGACATCTAACCGAACCAAGTCCTACAGCTAAGGATGTAAAGAAGCCAATCAGACTGGCAGGAGAGACAAATGCATGGAATGGGCTGCTCCCACCCACGAATGGTGGATAAAAACTGGGATATCTCTGTTGCAGAGGTTCCCCCGAGGAGCAAGGTTCCCCAGCCCAGGGTTCCAGCAGAGACTGTGGCTGAGTGAGATGGAGGCTGCTGGAGTCCCAGGGCCCACACAGACTTACTTGGACTCTCTGGCTCAGGGCTCCAGCGTTGAGGCAGCAGCTCGAAAGACACCAGGGATATATGGGGAGGAAGTGTCTGGCACCAGGACGAGAGCTAGAGGGGCAGCTTTTTCCCAGAAATGCTGCCGGCAGCCAGCGTTCCTTCTCTGGGACACCTCCCCCACGCAGGCATGCACAGCCAGCAGGCAGGTGCCATAAATTAGGCTCCATCAACCCGCCCTGGTGATTCCCTGAGACCCCGCCCCACCCAACTTGCAGGCTCACCCAAGCTATTTCCAGTGGCTTTTCCATACAAACAGTCTGTCTTGGCTCATGCTTCAGACTCCTAAAACCCCTCAAACAAGCAGCAGCTGGCCTCAGCATGCCCCCTGCCTCTTGCTAAGTGTCCCTAACCCAGCATTAGCAGCAGCCAGCCTCGGTTCACAGCTTGGCCTCTCCTGGGCACCTCCAAGCGCAGCACAAGTAGGAGCATCTGCAGATCACCTGGTAGCTCATGTTGGGTGGCCCCAGGCAGGCAGGGCACAGTGGTGGCTGACCTTGACGCACCTCCCAGGAGGCCCCAGAGCCAGTGGATAAAAAAGCATGTGGAAGTTTCCCTCTTGTAAAAGGCCAAATTTTGCCATCAGTAATTTAAACAAAAATTTAAAAGATAATTGAGCATTCAATCTAATCAATTTATTTCTAATAATTGATAGACTGAAAACAAACATGGGGAGCAAACATTGTTAGTCTGGTTTAAAAAATAAATTCAAGCAATCTGAATCAGCCTGGCCACCAATCTGCAGAATCAGTCTTTTTGGTAAGTGGTGTATGTCAACCAATAATTAAAGATGACATTACAATACAACCGGGTAAACAGGCATTACCTATTTAATAAGTACAATATATACATAGAATTCTCTTGAAAAGCTTAATTTTATACAGAGACATATTTACAAAATGAACAATGTAATCAAATTAGAGATTATCTGTACAATCCACACACATATATATATATATATAGCTATATCTACCTATCTATATATACATATATATGAACTTTGGAAGATAAGCAAGTTTCATCATCGTAATCTAAATGGACAGCCATATTGCATTTTAAAAAAGGATTCCATTCCAGAAGAAAAATACAACTTTAATATACAATTATACTTTTCATTTATTGTCCTGAAAATTCTTGATGTTTGGATACATTTTTCAATTACTTTCTCTTCTTCAGCCTTGAAAAGCTTTTAGGTTTTTAGTGCCACCAACTGTTGTTAAAAATTAATAATCTTAGTGTCAAAAAAGAATTGTTTTGTTTTAAAATAATAAAGTTATTGAAAAATAAGCTACTGGAGTCAACATTCATAAGGCAAATTAACCATAGCAAATAATAACATGATTGATAAAAATATTTTCACCATGGTAGTATATATAACATTCACAATACTAATGGTAATTAGTATTTCTAATTTTATTTTCCCCTACTGGTAAATATTAGTCTAAATTTACATGTAAAAATCTTTAGAAAATAATACAGTGCAAAACAAAGTTTGGAAATACACGTGACTGCAGGATTAGATAATCTTTATAAGCATCAAGTAGGCATTAATAATTTACTAAAATGGCAAAAATCGAATGCCACTTTATGGTCTTTGGATTTTTTTTTCCTTCTTACGGAATAATTAAACATCAAACTGTGACAAAAGTGTGGAAATGTATGTAACTACCAAGGGAACAGCCACCTGCTGCCGCGTACCTCAGTAAGGATTCGTTTCCCAAAGGTGCGTGCCAGAGTGAGGTTCCTGGGCCACCTACTTGCACAGGAGGACTGACCCTCTTCCCACGCGCCTGGCAGGAGTGGCAGAGGCTCAGAGCTGCCCTGCTGGGTCCGTTCTAGGACCACAGCTCTGGGAGGAGGGGAACTGCTTTCTCTGGCCTGTTCACCAGTATCACCACAGTACCTAGGATGGCGCCAGGCAACAGATTTTCAATAACCATGTTTATTAAATGAATAAATAACATAGCCTGATAAAATTTAATTTCAAGATAAGTCTATTTAAATGGTGATGAAGAAAGTTAAAAAGAAACCATCAAAGTTCAAACTCGTTATTCTGCTCAAACACACTATTTGCAATCCTTGAAACTTAACAGACTAAAGTTTGGAGGGGTATGGGGAAAAAAGGGAGTCACAGTAAATATTCACTTTAAAATTGAAACCTGGTGAAGTGTATACACACACACACACACACACACACACACACACACACACAAAATCATTTCCTGCTCAAAGAAACCAAAACTGTACTAACCAAAACAGCCTTTGGTGTGTACAATTCATAATGCACATACAAAAAATTCCCCCCTCAGATCTGAGGTTTATCGAGACCATTTTCCTTGTCGGGTACCCCATTCTTCTCTCCATATATCCAACACAGTAAGGGAAGAAGGCCCTCTAAGTCAGGAGCTACGTGTGAATCAATGTAGAGACAGAGATCTGACATGTGCATATTTTTGTACATTGTGCTCAGTCCTGACCCATATAAAAAGGATGCAGTAAAAACTAAAGAACAAAAGGAAAATATTTTCTTCAAAAGTTTTCCATAGTTTCTTATATTTTAGGGGGAAAAGTAACAATAAGTCAAAATATGGTTTACAATAGCTTTCTTCTATTATTGTTTCCAATTTAAACTTCTCCAAATGAATGGTGGCACAAATGTCAATATTGGAATGTTTCAATTTTGTATGTAACAAATGTATATATATTTTTAATTTTTATGTTTTTAAGAGTGTATAGACACAGCATCACTATTTGGTCTCCATTAATACATTTTGTGTCTTAGAAGAAAATAAATATTGTAATGTTTGAATCTGTATCACATAAGAAGCCGTAAAAATTTAGTTACCTTGGCTACTCTAAGTAGTCTTTGGGAGTATCAACTAGATGTCTAGAAGCAAATGGGAAAATAATTCCGATTTGATTGCACTTACCCTCTTATTCTGATAAATTACTATTGGTAAAAAGAACAAGACACATTATTGTAAGACTAATACTTTTTAACAGCTATTTAAAAAATTTTTAAAACTTGTATATCCATTTTGAAGTAAAAACGTTTTGTTTTGGGATGACAATACATAACTCAATATACAGAAAAAACAATATAATGAATCATCTAACCCTTAGTAAATTATCTTTTTAAACAATGATGACTAAAAAAAAAATGTTAAAATCCATGAAAGGGATATTGCCACCACGAGCCCAACTTTGAGAACCATACAATTCTTGAAAGGCTTTTAATCTATCATCCCAAAGCTTACTTAAGGGGAGAAAAAAGAATGCAAAAACCCAAAACAAAAATGAGGCTTTCTGCAAGACAAAAATATAAACTGCACACAGAAATTATAACAGATGAGAAATTATAAGAAGCAAGAAAAATTCAATGACATAGAAATACTGACACCACAACTGGCAATATTTAAGTTGCCACATTGCAAATAAATATTGTAAAAATCCAATAGGATACATAAATTTGGCTCTAAAATCCCTTTGGTTACAGAGAAGTAATTATTTTGTGTTTTAAATAAATACACTGAAACGCCTCATATGTGGGGATTGTTGGATCACTCCACTATAACAAGTAAGTATATCAATAGTGAAGAATGGGAGCTTAAACAGTACAGAATGAGTGCATTCTCTTGGGAACAGAATCTTCATAAATATTTTAAACATTTATCTTTGCATTTGATATTAGTAAAACGCAAGTATTTCAGTTTCAAAGAATTCACTATTCATCTGTTTTAATAACTAGTCAATTTCACATTTTAAAATATAAATGAAGTCCACAGGAATTTTCTAAATGAGCATGTTATTTTAAATCATATTTTATGTAACTGAAGATTTAAAAAACTCAACTATGAACTCAAACAATTTAAATCTGAAAAAAAATGTACCTAGCCCAGATAAGGTACATACCTGATCATGGGCCAATTACCTCAAGCTAGCTTTCCTATTAGCTTCCATTAAAATTAATAGATTTAAGGATCACTGGTACCCTCCCTAAAACACAACCAAATGAAATATTGGAATGTCAAGACAAAATTTTTTATTTTTTAGTTTTCTTTTAAGTTAGGAAAATAGCATATTACTGGTCCTTTCATGCATAATTTTAAAAAGCTGGATCATTTTTGACATGATGTGTTTTAAAGTGGAAAAAATGGAGAAGGGTTTTCCAAAAGCCCTTGTATGTTGAGCATTTCGATGATTCTTAGCAAATTAAACTAGGTTGTTTTGGTTCTATGGTGACTGTCACCATACGAAAACAGATTCCATCAAGTCTACACTCTTACAGGACACACTGCAATGCATTCCTAAGGTAAAGGTACTTTTCTGTAAGGTCAATCGATCACTCTTTACTGGCTGATACACTGGGGAGGGTTCCAACAATACGGGCAGTGACCCTGCTCCTCGTGTGGTTGTTCTCTCGTCCCTGAGCAGCAGTTTCGTGTTAGGTTTTCTTCGTCCTCTGTTCTAGTTCGTGCTGGTGTTTAATAAGACGTTCTATTTCTGTTCCAAGTGTTTGTAGATTTTCCTTTAACCATTTGAAAAAAAGAGCAAAATAAGAACAGAACTCTAAGTATAGTAAGTAAAAAGTGTTTCACTTGAACTACCTTTGCCTAAATTTTGAAGAGTGATGATTAGTCTTATATGTTATATGAAATAAACTAGAAACAGCTATTTTCAGTAAAGTAGTCCTACATATTACAAAGTCATACTTACTTTTTTTACTGAAGCTACAGCAAATTTTATTACATAAAATTATTACCAAAGTTAAAAAATAATTTTTAAAATCGACTACTAACTATCCAATAGCTAAACGGGCTCATCGACAGTCAAGTGGATAAAAAAGCTGTGGTACATAAATACAATGGGGTATTACTCAGTCAAAAAAAAAGAATGAAATCTTACCATTTGGAACAGCATGGATGACCTAGAGCAGCGGTCGCCAACCGGTGTTCAGCGGACCACTAGTGGTCCATGAAGTCCGAAAGGTTGGCGACCACTGACCTAGAGGGTATTATGCTAAGTGAAATAAGTCAGACAGAGAAAGACAAATACCATACGATTTCACTTATGTGTGAAATCTCAAGGATAAAATAAATCAACAAACAAAATTGAAGCAGACTCATAGATACAGAGAACAGACTGACTGATGGTTGCAGAAAAGTGGGGGGTTAACGGGGACTAGGTGAAAAAGGCAAAGGGATTAAGAGTACAAATTGGTAGTTTTAAAACAGTCATGGGGATCTAAAGTACATCATAGGGAATATAGTCAATAATATTGTAATACTATGTATGGTGCCAGGTGGGTGTTGGAAATATTGGGGGAACACTATATAAAGTATAGAATTGTCTAACCATTATGCTGTACACTGGAACTAATACAAAATTATGCTGAAAGTAAACTACAATTGAAAAATAAAAATATAGCTAAACGATGACCTTTTACTGTTCCTTTCGTTGCTCTGTTAACAAATTCTACTTTTCAGAAAAAGAACAACATGCTCATTTTATCTCTGGGTAAAACGCTATCTTGCATTACAGAAATAGTTCACTATGTACTGGGTCAAACTATGAAACAGGCACCATTTTGCCATGTTACTGGTGGGTAAGTGAACAAGAAGTACAAATACCTTCAAAGTAATATTTTTTAGTAACGTATCTTCCAAAACAGCCTGTAATTTTCGGTTGATCTCCAGAGAGAGTTCCAATGTCAGTCCACTATCAGCTGGATGGGATGTGTATAGAGACGCCATGATGCCACCCCGTCTACTTAGGTGGACTTTGTTAAAATCAGATGCCTCTGAAGAAAGGGTGCCTGCCTCTTCCCGTAAAATGTAACTCTGAATGATTCTGCAAAATAAAACCACACTATCAGTTATGTACTTGCAGAATTAAAAACGCTGCAATTTGCAAGAGTCAACTAATCATAAGCATCAAGATGACTAGCATAAATACCTACAAGGTTAATAACAGAACTGTATTAGGAGAGAAAGGAATTTTATAAGTCCAAAATTATTTCAAAATAAACACAAGCCAATCATGGGTAAAGACTGCATTATCAAAGCCCTTAAATGAGCATGGTATGTGTGAGGGGTCTGGCACAGCACCGTCCTGGAGTGTCAGCATGGGATGTGGCTCTCGCTCTTGGTCCATCACTTATGGAGTGAGTGCTGAATCTGGGACAGTTAGTAATTTGACCTGAGCCCCAGCGACTATCTGCCAAATTAGAGAACTCATTCTCTCCGAGTAGATGTAAGAAATCAATGAACTATTAAGTCAACAGGCATCGTGCCTTGTACTTAGTAGTTGCCCAATAAATTACCCCACTATGGTCTACCCAGCAGGAAAGATAATCCACAACACTATAAAGCTCTTAGAATCGGTCATAAAAATAAAAACCTAAGTAGAGCACTTTAAGACCAAAGTTATTTTAATATCTCAAAAAAATTAATGTCAATTGGTCATAAACAACACAGTCATTATCCGGACCAGGAAGCTCATAACCAACAGATGACTTCAGTGGAACAAATGGTCACGGACATCCTTCGCGCTGGGAAGGCAGCAGTCCCTTAGACAGAACCTCGGGAATAAGCAGCTAGGTTGTGTAAGACCCCAGCAGATGTCACCTCTGTGATGGGATTCAGAACGCTTTCTTGAATAATGGTATTTTAAACACAGAATATGTGACCATGATAATACATACTTTGTTTTTTTCCTAATTTCTTCCACCAATTGTTTGATGTGATCCTCCATAAACTCTATCTTTTCATGCTTTCGGGCATGTGCTTTCTGCAGCCTTACTATCCTCTCAATCAACATGGCCTTGTCTACTTCCGGGAAGTTATCCACAGCCACCGACGACCCGGTGTTTTCCGGAGATCGATCTTCTGCACTGCTTCGGGCATTAATGGACCCTGAAGAGAAAAAGAGTTTAGACACTGTACCTGGTATAGAGTCATCTCTAATCTCATATTGTTTCTTCTAGTATGACTTTCAAATATTAACTCTGAGTTGGGCACAGGACCTGGTTTGAGTTCTTATTTCTGAATATACTGATGATAGAAGTACAATAAGATCTACTATGTCTTTCAGGAATAGGAGGAGGAAATGTCAACAAAGAAACATGGAACTCGAGAAAAAATCAGAAATAACAAGTCTGAAGTAAGACCGAATCAAACCAAGAAAAAGAGACAGGCAGGAGAGCAGAATACAGCCACGTGGGCTCAGCTCAGCTCAGCTCAGGAGCCAGACCTCCGAGGTTCAAATCCCACTTTCTAGCTGTGAGACTTCGGACAAGTTAATTAAACTCTGTGCCTCGGCGCTTCATCTTAAAATGAGAACAACAACATTATTCACCTCACAGGACTACTATCCGCATTTAAATGAGTTACTACACGTGAAGCTGCAACAACGCATACAGTGAGCTCTAAGTGAATGCTAGCTATTATTTTTATCAACATCAGTTGTAAAGAATTTTTAACCCTCTTACCTACAAAGTTAAGCTTTTTTTCCCCATTCTATAGATTTTAGACAAGTAATATATCTTATCCAACATCATACACTAACAAATGGCAGAGCTGGGACCTAAATACCTATGTGTAATTTCGAATCCACGTTTCTTCTGCTACACCGTTTCCCACTATCGTAACCCTTGATGGCATTTTCCCCCCTAATATGCAACTCCTGGAGCAGTGCAGGCTGGTGGCACGCAAGGGCTTTAGAATCTGAGAGCTTAGTCACTGAGGATTTGGGGTGAGTCATGGAAACACACTTTGAAGTGGGAACTGTAACAGCTCACATGACTTTTCCAGAGTAAATGATATACTTAAAGCATTGAGCCTGGTTCCTGGCATTCCAAAATTGATATTTTGCTAATTACTATTTTCACAATGTTACCAATCATAATTTCATAGACTCTATTCATTTCTGCTGTACCATAAGCATATCAACCATGAGAAATGCTAATATTTTAAAAATACATGTGTGTATATACACTTAAAAATCTGATCTATAACAATGGTCACTTCAGTAGTTCTCAGTAAAAGTAAAAAGAGAGACCACACTACAGCAAATCTCTCTGTAGGAATGGATACAATTTGAATTTAAGAATGGAAGAGGAAGTTGTTACACAGAATAGAGACAAAGCAGATAAGAAAAAAGGAGGTAGAGGAATAAGTGATAGAGAACCACGTGACATATACCTGAAACTAATATAATATTGTATGTCAACTATACTTTTAACTAAAAAGAGCTTTACATTCCAGAATTGGGGGTGGGATGGGGGGAGAGCCACATGGCAAACCCTGGATAATGGAAATATTTCTTATAATATGTACAACTACCACTTTTTAAAATTCAAAATGAAAGAAAAACATTTCAATACCTTTTAAAACAAAATAAGCTATTTCTTTTTATAATCAATCACAAACTAACTAAAACCATTAGTTTTTTTACCTGATGAACTAGAACGACTTCCCATGCTGCTGACTTCTTTATCATAGCCTCCATTCTCGACCTGATCTAATTTTCTTCGTGCTAGAGAAGAAAGAAATGGGTTATTTGTGACACTTATCATGACCATTTGCCCCTACTACCTCTGATTTTTATTGCTAAAATCACTTAGGTCAAGAGGGCTATAGGTGTCATTTATACAAAATGACATCTAGAAATGCACAGGTCAAATACAACATATTGGAAACATTACAATAACAACCGAGACTGGCTGGCTTCACTTCAGTACGCTGAGCGTAACTGCTGGAGTCCTGCAAGATGTAGAAAGATACCAGAATTTCCCCCAAATTTCACTTCAATTATATCTATAAAAACAAAGTGACTTCTCATGGAAAATATCTGAATAAATTTATATTAAGTAAATGCTAAATCTCTTTTATTACTATGTTTAATCCTGTTTTGACACAAAGCAGAGGGAAATAATGGAGAGTAGGAAGTCAGAATGCATATCCTATTCATCTTTGTACCCAAGCACAGGACACACACTCCCAATAATTGTATGAATTTTAAAATGAAAGAAATCTGGATCCCAGCTCTGGCTATCAATCACTATGTTTGGTTAAGCTGTAAGCTTTCTGGGTCTCAAATTCCTGTACAATGAGAGGTTAGGTCTCACCGATCTCTAAGTTAGAGGTCTACTATATGGGATGCAAGTTCAAAAGATGCTGCACAAAACAATTCATACACAAGTGTAGGGGAAAAATTTTAGAACTATTAATACTTATATTTAATCTGACCTTTTAAAATTTCTATTTCTCTTGTCTAATATGCATTGGTAACATTCTAATGTACATCAAATAGAATAATACATGTTTAAAATTTATAAAAATATATAAATTAGAGAACAAGTGCTGAAGTAATCTTTCCTAGGAGTATGTGATCAAAAATATTTCGACACTACTGCCTTAAGTTCCATGAACAAATGTCTTTTAGCATAGAAGATGCTACAGACTATTCATGTAACTGCAAGAAGTTTAGCAATTTGGTTTATGAACATTAGTACATTAAAAAGAACATAAGGCTCTAATCAATGTGGAAGAACCTGACGTGAAAAGTATTTTTTCTATAAATCCTAAAGATTATAAGAAACAACACACATTCCAGGTCTAAGTGCGGAAGCATTTCCTACCTTGCTGAAGTTGTTTGGTAAGGTCCTTGACACTAGAGGCATGCTTACGTCTCTGAGTTACTAAATCATCTTTTAATTCTTCAACTTGGGTACTCAATGCTTTAACTTCTGTTTGTTTACAAGTGAGTTCAGCTTGCAGAGCCTGGACTTCCTCTTTTCGCAGTTCTTCCTCTTTCAACAATCTACTTTCCTAAATATTAAATTAAGATAAAACAAAAACACCAATTTTAATAGGTGACTTGTATGTTTCCACTATTTCTCACAGTTTAAAACATTAAAATACAAAGCCTTTGATAGTAGATTCTTCTATCATCACTCCTTACTAGGTTTTGTTTACTGAGCTCCTCAAATTCTTCACATAGCAATCCAGGGGGGTACATTACTACATCTGCCAGTTTACACAGGCAAAAACACCATGTGGTACAGGTCTCTGTATTTTTTAACTAAAATCTCAAATTATTTTTATAAGTAACTTGAAGGCACTCTCATAACTCAGAAATATTAAACCATTTTAAAGTACAAAAATGTAAAAATGTAAAGTACTTTTAAAAAAGATATAGTAATTCCAGCCCTAGTCGGTTTGGCTCAATGGAGAGAGTGGCCTGCGGACTGAAGGGTTCCAGGTTCGGTTTTGGTCAAGGGCATGTACCTTGGTTGCAGGCTCCTGGCCCTGGTCTGGGTGCATGCGGTAGGCAACCAATCAATATATCTCTCCCACATCGATGTTTCTCTCTCTCTCTCTCTCTCTCTCTCTCTCTCCTCTCCATTCTCTCTAAAAATCAATGGAAAAATATCCTCGGGTGAGGATTAAAATAAATAAATAAATAAAAAGATATATTGATTCTAGTTAGAAATGTCAAAAACCCTGATTTCCTTGTCTTCAAAAGTGAAATGCTTCATAACCATTTTAGGGAACATTTTTATTATAAGCTACCGAAGTTGAAAGGAAAACCGACATTCTTCACGGCATTTGAAAAATTTGTAAGAAAGTCAGTGCCAATAAAAAAGGGCTTAGATCAACTACACGCGGTTTTGCCAGCAGGGAAATCGAATTGGTGCTTCTTGCGATGTTGCTTTAAGTAGTGAATGTACAATTATACGTACCAAGTTGGTAGTTGTCTGTTTCATTTGCTCACACTGGCTTTGTAACTGGCTTTCACTACAGGAAAGCTTGTCACACTGGGACCGTAAAGAATTGCATTCAGACTGAAGTTGCGCGTTCTTACTAGTAAGCTTTTCTGTAAACAGCAGTAGCTCAGATTCTCTTTTCCGACTGCCTTCGATGTCTTTTTGTAGGTCATTAATCAAAGAATTAAGACTTTCCACTTCTTCCTTCAAATTCTCAATTTCTTGTTTACCTCTAAAAAACAAAGTTTATATTTAAAAAAAAATTAAACCATTAAAAAACATTAAATTAATGGTTTGGGAATTTTCATGGAAGGAAATGCTTTATAAAGGTACTTCTATTTGTGAATGACTAGCACATACTAGGAACTAAGAGCTAGGAATACAAGGGAGCATGACAGACATGGCCCCTGCTTTCAAAGTTTTTTGTCAGGTAGGAAAGTTACCTAAGTGAAATAAACATTTTTGATGATGAAAGCACCAAGTGAGTCACCCAGCCTAGTGCAAGTGATGCTTGAATTAATGCTTAGTAATCAGTAAAGAAACCAAAGTACATTCTGTCTTATAAACTGCTACTGACAATGTTCAGGAAATATAAACTTTGATTTTTTAGAAACCATGACGAGAACATCAAAGATAATCCAAAAAATTTCAAGAAAGACCAAAACCTAAAATTTTTTAGCTAGTAATATTTTTAAATTATTCTTGTTTGATGCAATAATTGCATTTAAAAATAAAAACTTGGGATAGAATTAAAAAGCCTGTTGATTAGCACAAACAGAAATTGCTCATTTTATACCTTTGATATTGCTCCTGTATCTGATCTGCAATTTTCATTTTGTCCAAGAAGTTCTGAATTTCAGCTTTCTGGCGATTAATAATTTCCTTATATTTCGATAATTCATCTTCTGTTCTTAATCGTTCATCTTCTAGACATTTCACCTATCAAAATCATAACCAAGTTTAACTACAAACAATATTTTCTTGTTCCTTATTAGCTATTTCAGGTAGTGGTTATATATGAACAACCTAAGCTGAATTCTGAAGCAGTGTTAGTTAATGTGAAGAAAACACAATGGGAAGTTAAAGTCCTGGGTTTCAGCTCAGATTTCCTCTGATTTAGCCATGGGAATTTCAGTACGTCACTTTATTTTTGCTGAATCTCCATTTCTTCACCTGAAAAGAGGACATACCTCTCCTACCTCCCTCAAGGAACTGGCGTGGAGAACAAAGAAGTGTACAGGGAAAACACTTTGAAAATTACTGTGCTTGCAAACTCAAAGTGGTTACTTAAAAGCCTATTTCTAAATAAATGAACGATATACAATGGTACTATTTCACAATTACATTAAAAGAGATATTAATCTTACAATAAAGACAATAAACACTGAAAAGAACTTAACAGATTGCTAGAAATTAAAACTGTATACAAGACTATTAAATATACCCAGGAGAAGTAAAAAGAAACTCTATTATTTTCTCACGGCTCTAAAATCCAATTATCTTTCCAATTAATTTGCTGATAAGACTGCCTTTGGATCAGAGGCCCAAGGATAAGTTATAGATCCAGCAAATGTGTTAAAAAACAGGAATGATGGTAACACTTGGAGGGGGTTGAAGTAGAAGACATTTTCATTTCCGTAAGAGAGTCCATTTTATTGCTAGGGAACTGATATTCTACCCCTGTGAGTTCTTTCATTTTAGAAAACTTCTAATTAAATACCCTTTCCCCGACAGTTTAAAATCAGAATGAGTCCAAAATTAAAAATGTTTACCCTTCGTCTTAAGTCACGACCAGAGATCTAATTACCTTTGTTCTCAGTGTTCGTAGCTCATCCATGCCCTCCATAAATGTCCTCTTCAGATCCTCCAGTTCCTTGATTTTGGCATGATGCATCTTTTAGAAAGTTTAAAAGAAACCACAGATCATTATGTACTAAACTCGATCCTGCTCCTCCAAAAGGCTTTAAAAGTAGATGACAATGAGTACTCATTATTTCTCTCCTGTATTTATTACACAATCTAGGGCAGTGGTCGGCAAACTCATTAGTCAACAGAGCCAAATATCAACAGTACAACGATTGAAATTTCTTTTTTTTTTAAATACATTTTATTGATTTTTTACAGAGAGGAAGGGAGAGAGAGAGTTAGAAACATTGATGAGAGAGAAACTTCGATCAGCTGCCTCTTGCATATCTCCTACTGGGGATGTGCCCGCAACCCAGGTACATGCCCTTGACCGGAATTGAACCTGGGACCTTTCAGTCCGCAGGCCGATGCTCTATCCACTGAGCCAAACCAGTTTCGGCTGAAATTTCTTTTGAGAGCCAAATTTTTAAAACTTAAACTATATAGGTAGGTACATTGTTATTAACTTAATTAGGGTACTCCTAAGGCTTAGGAAGAGCCACACTTATGGGGCCAAAGAGCCGCATGTGGCTCGCAAGCCGGGGTTTGCCGACCACGGATCTAGGGTATACAAAAAATTACTCACCTCTAGCTGGTCAGATTTTTCCTGCATTTGTTTTTCAAGCTCTCCTTTTGTGACTCTGAGCTTGGCATCAAGCTCATTTGATTTAATTTCTTCTGACTCCTAATGGGAAATAAATTTTAAAGGAATGATTTAATTTTTAAAGTTTTATACTTTGAAAAGTAAAGAAGGCTTTTGCAATTAAGTGTGTTAAGAAATACAGAGTATATGTATCTACAAATGATTACTTCATTGAAAGACTTTAAATATGTTAATTTTGCAAGAACAAGAATTGCATACCTAAGATATGTAACATAATACACAGTGGTTTTTCTGAACTTATACATCTACAAACATGTACTCTTTATTCTTCTGACGTTTTCTAGTGTTTTTATCTAGTTAATGAGATCTCTAGATAAGCTACAAGTACTTTGACATCAGAAATAAACCTGTATTTTATTTAATTGACCTACCAAATACATCCCACACTTCAAATATTACAGATACAACCTTTAATGAAACAATATTAATATTGGCATAATTTGTTACTAATCTATTTGAAAAGTTAAGCATACCTGGTATGTTTTTATCATATCCTGACAATTTTTTCGTATCTGATCTGCTTCTTCCTTTGCTTGGGTTAACTTTGTTGTTGTCTCTTTGAGTTTATCTTTGGTTTCCTGCATTGATAAAAGGACAGTGACAACCGTGGGCACAATGATGTGTAGGAACAATGGCCAGAGAAAGGGCAGAGAAAGTTTTTGTCTCAGCACTGCCACCGAGGGGCCGAATAATTAAAGTTAAATTTCATAAGGTTCTCAACAAATCACTAGAATTTACTAACTAACCTGGTAAGACAACAAGAGCACACAGAGAAGACAATTCTTTGGTTATGGCCGTGGTATCTATTAAAAACTGCTTTCTTAAAGACTCATGCTGCAGTTTGGTTTCTATTCCTAACCACTCTCCTGAAACAACAATTCTGAAGGTTTGTAGGGACTACTCTCTCGTCAAATTCAATTACTTCCTTTTTCTCCTTTCTTCTTCTTCTTGACTTTGACCAGTTCTGACCACTCCCTACTCATTGAACACCCTTCCTGTTTCCATTACAAGACACTGTGCTGTTTGGTCCTTCTTCATTGCTGCCTTCTCTAGCTCCTCAACTGCCTTTCTGTTTCCTGTGGCGATTTCCCAAGACCCATCCCTGCCCTCAGCTCTTTCTCCATATTCTGCAGAGTCCACATCCAGTCCCAGGGGTCTGGCTATCACGTTGATTTCAAGTGAAAACATCTCTTCCTCACAGCTTCTCTTCAGAAAGGGGCAAATGCTGCTCTTGTGCTTCCCATCGATAGAATCCAGGGCATCCCTGGATTGTAACAACTGGTACAGTGGACCACAGCTTATGTGTTTTCCCCTTTGGGAAGCAGCACCTAGCTCAGAACTTGCCCCTTAATAATGGTGCAAATAACGTTTGTTGAATTAATAAAGGAAACATAATATATAAACCTTCTGTTCTAGTTAGGGTGGTCTTCCCAAATACCAATAGTTTTTCCCTCTTTTTCTTATTGTTCCTCCACTTATAATACCTTTCCTTTCATCTCTTAAACCACCTATACTTCATCTATCCTTCACATACTGCTTCTTATATGTCATTTGTTTTTGTATAAACCTAGCATACAATTAAGTATTTACTTATATACTTTTAGTTGCTGTTTATAATAATAATTTGACTTGTATTAAAATTCAGTGTCACTTTTAAAATATAAATATTTAGAGACTTTTTCTAATATATATACTTTTTAAATGTTAGAATATTATTCCAACAAGAGGACACAGAGCGAGAAACTTTATCTGGTGTCCCCTCCCCGCAACTTCTATATGATCAGTAACTAAAACAGAGTCTGACACACAGGAGGTACTCACTTCATTCACTCAAAAAATAGCAATTGAGAGATTTCTATATGCCAAATAAATACTTATTAAATAAATAACAATAAGAGAAAAGTGAGAATCACATTAAATGTATGTTGATTAAGGTATTAACTACGTTTCATTCGCTGATTCATTCATTCAGTATTCATTGAGCACCTACCATGTACCAGGCACTGTACTATGCTCTGGGGAAACAGTGGTGCTTAAAAATCCAGACAAAATCTCTACTTTCACAAGCTGATATTCTAGATGAAGGTACATAATAAATAAAACACATAAGTGAAAATGTTGTATCAGATAGTGACAAGTGCTAAAGAGTAAAAATAAAGACATGAGAAAGTCTGGGGGTAGGTGTTGAAAATTTAGTAGCCAGGGAACCTTCCATTGGGAACGATGGGTGAAGACTTGAGAGCAGCCAGCAAGATTTGCTAGGGGACTAGATATGGTGACTGAGAACTCAAGGCTAAATCTAAGGTTCGCAATCACCAAATATGCAGGCCCAGGCTATCCTACAAGAGTCACTAAATTAAACTTTTTGCCTCATTAACTATTACTGTATTTGCTTTTAAAACTGATTCTAATGATTTTTCCATTGCATCACAGTACTCACCTTGTGCAAATCCATTTCCACTTTTAATTTGTTTTGTGCCCATTTTACTTTAATGATGTGAGAGTTGATCTCTTCCTTTAGTTTGTCTATTTCTCTGATGAGTCTAGTAGTTTCACCTTCCTAAAATAATACCACTAGGTCATATTTTTCATTTTACAATCAACCAATTATTTGTGTATGTTTACACCACCTCAAAATAATCAATACAATAACACAATAATTCAGAAGATGGCACATTATTATGGCCTATAAGCCATAAAACTGATTTAAAGTGCAAATCATAAGAGAGCAGTAAAATCCTAAATCCTGTTTACAGACATAATTAACATATAACTTAACCAACTAGATATGTTTCAAGTACAAGCATACCTTTTTTCTTCTCAACCACCTGGCTTTAAGGTAAAATAAGAATTAAATTGGTTTTGCCAGAATTTCTGAGACAATGACAACTTTCCTGAACTAAAAGTTAATTAATAAAATATAACATTAGCCTGGCCAGCATGGCTCAGTGTTTGAGCATCAACCTATGAACCAGGAGGTCACAGTTTGATTCCTGTCAGGGCACATGTCTAGGTTGCAGGATCAACCCCAGTGTGGGCATGCAGAAAGCAGCAATCAATGAATCTCTCTCATCACTGATGTTTCTCTCTCTCTCTCCCTCTCCCTTCTTCTCTTAGATCAATAAAAACATATTTAAAAATAATAATAACATTCATCATCAAGAAGTGATAATCGACTGGAAATGAGACCATGCAATCAGGCTGCTAGTTAACGCAAGGACTCTGAATAGCTCAGTAGTTAAATCTCTTCGGACAGCATCCAAGAACAATGTTTGTTTGTTTATTTTGTTAATCCTCACCCAAGGACATTTTTTCCATTGATTTTTAGAGAGAGTGGAAGGGATGGGTAGAGACAGAGAGAAACATTGATTGGTTGCCTCCCACACACACCCCAACTGGGGCTGGGGATCCTGCAACTGAGGTACGTGCCCTTGACTAGAATTGAACTCGAGACCCTCAGTCCATGGGCCAATGCTCTAACCACTGAGAAAAATTGGCTAGGGCTAAGAACATGTTTTTTTTACCCAAATTCTATTCTATGATGAGTGTTACATTAGGATTCTGGTTAAATGATACTTATTAAACCATTCACACTTTGACACTACTATGTATATATCTTGCCAAAATCTTCCTTTGAGGCACAAACTAAATTCTTCAACATATAGATTTAATGAAAAAGTTGTTTAAAATATTTATTAAGAAAAAGTTATCTAATAAACAACGTATGTTAATTTCTCATCTTTTTCCAGTAACATTTTCTGCACACAGATAACAACTGGAATTACTAAAGCATTCATATACTTAGAAGATAAACTAAACAACTTGATGTTTAATAGTGGTTTAACCATGGTAAGTTATGATTCTCTGATTAAGAAAAAGCAAACAAAATACATTTCAAATAAGGTACAATAGCGCAAGTTATACCTTTGTTTCATACAGTTGGTGCAAACGTCCTTTCTCTTGAGAAAGCAACTTAATTTTGTTAGTGTTTTTCTCAGTTTCTTTATTTGCATCTCTAAGTTTCCTCTCAAGTATCTCTTTTTCCTTTCGGAGGTCTAAAGCTTCTTTCTCACCTCTTACATACTTCATTATCATTGCTTCTTTTTCCTGGCGAGCCTCTTCACATTTCTTATTGGCCTTTGAAAAAAAATATCTAGCATTAAATTTTTCAAATAAAGCTAAATTTTAAAATATTATTTTCTATAATATTACCAATGTATTTTTTGGTTTTGGAACAACATTCCCAGGACCTGTGTCGTGAAAATTTAAAAAGGAAAAATTCAAAATTATAGATAAACAATAAACAAATTAATGTCACTAATACTTATTTTACCCTTTCCTATTCCTTTTATTTTGGCTGATATGGCTGCTGTTTTCTATTTACTTCCCTGGATCCACTTGCCCGCTCTTTCCCATCCACCCTGTGCTCCAGCAAGAGGACCTCAGACACCACAGCAACAAGTTTCCTTGCCTCAGACTTCCAGTTGGTTCAGCCAACAGGAGTCACTAGACAGAGATAAGGAGGGCAGGCAGAGAGGGAGATCTGGCTCCTCCAGAGTCACCACAGGCTGGAAAGGAGACTGCTCTGGTCAGGTGCTCTCTTTATACAACCACTGTCTCTGCACGACCTGTGCCCTCTTCTATTCCTTTAGTCCAGGGGTGGGGAATGTCTGGCCCCCGGGCCATATGAGGCCTGCAAAATCCTTCGATCTGGCCCTGCCAAGGCATTAGGGGTGAGTTAATTAAATGTTTAATCAAATTTAGCAGGCTAAATTTTCAGTTGATAATTTTGTATGGCCTGTGAATGATGTCATAAATATCCAAATGGCCCTTGGCAGAAAAAAGGTTGCCCACCCCTGCTTTAGCCCAAAGAGCACTAATGGCTCCACCAGCAGCCCCAGGACCATTCATTTTCCCTTGTTGGGCAACCTAAGTCTTGCCCATACCTTTGTAAAAGTCCTTTTATTAAATTCTCCTCAAATCACTAGTTTCTGTTTTCTGCCAGGACGCTTACTGCACAGCTAACAATTTTCTCAAATCTATAAACTTAGCTCCCTCATCAAAAAAAAAAGTATATAAAATATACTAATTAATGATCATCTAATTTCCTATATATGAAAAGCTTTCTAAAGTATTTCATATTTAATAAGAAATACCCAATTGAATTGTTACATCTATATACTCATTTCAAATTCCCTATTAGTGTAAGCTTCTACTCCAAATTCCAAAATTTTATACAAAAACTTCTACAGATAGCCCTTCACTTAAGTAATTCATAGTTTGTAAGTACGATGAAACACATATTTGCTTAAGCTTTAGGGGTTTTCAATGGCAGATAATGGTAAGCACCAACTGATACTGTAACTAAGTTGATGATGCTAGAGTGTCAGGATATTATAAGAAAAGCTCCTATGCTCTCACGAAAAGTGTCTGAAAATACGTTCCCTGAAGTTCTGGTACAGCAGATCATCACATCTAATAAATATTCAAAATATGACACATACACATTTTCAGGTCCCACCCTAAAGAATGGCAGCACCCACTTCACGGAGCTGTTGGGAGTATTATGTCAGCCCATTTATAGGCACAGATAAAGGAAGAAGCGCCAGTAAAAGTCTTTGGATTTGACCAGTTTAAGACGTTTATCACTGACTTCAATGAAGATAAAGCATGAACAAACAAGATAAGCAATAGGATTCGATAGGCAACTAAAATTATTAGGTGTATTAAACAGGGGAGAAAACAGTTATAAAAAAAAGGATATACAGTAAGATCTCCATCAAGTCGGGAAAAAAGTGTATGAATATGTGTAACTTCTACAGGCATACGTAATAAGATACATAACAAAATATCAGTTATTAGCTATGGACCAAGGACTGGGATATAAAAGGATTGGAGCAGGAAGGGAGAAGTACAAATGAAGAAGGACTTTCATTTTTCATTCTACACATTTCTTAAGTTATTAAATTATTTGTTGTAAGTAGCACATTATTTTTATATTGCTTTAGCATTTTTTAAAAAGTTAATTTTTATAGGGATAAAATTATCCATTCCTAAAACACCACTGATGTCCAAAATCATCTAACAGGATTAGTTTACTTTCATAAACAAGAGAGAATCACCAGAAAGTTAATAATGACAATGACTTGAAAAATACCTGTTCCATCCGATGGGCCATCTCTTTGTGTAACTGCTGAACTGCATTTTTAGTTGCAGTATCTTGAGCTATTAGTTTATCTTTGGAAGCTTTAACTTCTTTATTAAGTTCCTCTATTTTTGATTCTAACTGTAAAGAAAATTATTTCCATATTATTTTTATAGCTGTATCAAAACAGACCATCACTACCTCAAATAAATATATACAATATAAATACAAGGAAAGCAACGAATATATTTCAAAAAGTAAATGTTAGCAATGTTTCTGTATCTCATTAGAATTAAGTTAGTATAAATCTGGAGCAGATTCTGATTAGATGGATGGTAAGCTTTAGAGCAAGCATGTCAAACTCGCAGCCTACAACGAATATTTTTGCATCCCAGCCAATAAAACGGCATGCAAGAACCATTTTAATAAAAATTTTGTGACTTAATTTTTACAATATCCTGTTATACATATTCTATAAAAATAAAAGCGTAATATGCTAATTAGACCGGACAGCCAGACGTCCTTCCGGACGACCTTCCAGACAAAGCCAGGGCTACAAGGGCCAAGCCCCTTGCATGAATTTCATGCATTGGGCCTCCAGTTATTAATAACGAACTACAATGTTCACTAATGACTGATTACTATAATTGTGTTGCATTCATTTCCCTTAAGCCCCTTAGGCACAGGTGCACTATTTCTCTCCTCTAATACTAGCAGCGAATATTTTAGCAGCCAATTGCCACGTCATTAGTCTTGAACAGACTTTGTGTGTGTGTGCAACAGGAAATATTTCACTTTCTGAGAACAAGAAAAATAGGTTTGTGTTACACTTATTAATTTGTGCAGTTATTCAGTGTCTGCTAAGTTAATGTTCAAGAAAAAATATTAATTTTCATTAAAATGTTCTATTATTTTATGTTAATGATTACTCATTTATTTCAGCCCTTTGCATGTCTCTACCTATGAAAATTGAAGCTTTTGTTTTTTTGCAGCCCATATAAATTTAAACCTTGTTTATTTGGCCCATGTTAGCCTTTGAGTTTGACATGCTTGCTCTAGAGTAATTACTATGGAAATAACTAAAAAGTATAGTGAAAATATCATAAAAGAAATGTAAATATTACATGCAAAAGAAAATAGTTAATAGATAAACAGGGGAACAAAAAAACATGAGACAAAAAATTAAAACTGGGAGATATAAATCCAACTGTTAATAATATTAAATGACAGCAAATTAAATAATAATATCAAATGGCAGAGACTGTCAGATTGGAATAAAAAAACAAGATCCCAAATATGTTGTCTACAAGAGATGCTTTAGATCCAAAGATATAAATAGACAAGCTAAAAGGATGAAAAAAGTTGCTATTTGCATATATCATGCAAACAGCAAATGTAAGAAAGTAAGAGTGCTACACTAAATATCAGACTCGCCGGCTGGGGGGAGGAGCCGTAGCAGTTGGTGGGCCAGCCCCACCCTCAATCAGGGTGGGGGACAATCAGGGGTGGGGCCAGCCTGGGGGCGGGGCTGAGGGCAGTTGGCTGGTCAGCCCCGCCCCCTGGTCGACACTCCTGGTCAAACTCCCAGTCAAGGGGAAAATTTGCATATTAGCCTTTTATTATATAGGATTATCTATTATCTATTGTTATTCTCATTATATAACTTTCTGTGAAAGATGACACAAAGACTCTTAAGGCTAGAATGCTTCTAATCCTGTCAATAGAAGAAAAAGCAGCTCAAAAAAATAAAGAGCAGCTCAATTTTGCTACCAGTCTAAATATTCACTTTACTGATCCATGAAGAAAGGAATTAGGGAAGAAGTGGGGGGGGGGGGGGAGGGGGGGGGGGGGGGGGGGAGAGGGGAGGAGGAAGAGGGGAGGTGAAGAAAGATAAGGCTGGGGAAGCCAGCTAGCCAGATAAAATCTGAAGTAGGAGAGCCGAAGTTCACAGTATAGTTAATATTAAACTATAAGCTTAAAAATATTCTAATGCCATATATAAATTTTTATATATTGTTTTTTCCTTTAATTGGTAAAAACAGTCTATCTGCCAAATCAAATCGTCTTCTCCGATTTCTACCAATACAGAATACAATCACAAATCACATAAAAATATTGATTCCCATTTCATAAGAGAATGCTTTACATACCAAGCAACCCTCTAACTTAAAAGGCAAAACTTTTATTTACACACAAATTTCCAGGAATGTACTTATTTTATAAATTAGAGGCCCAATGCATGAAATTTATGCACTTGGGGGTTCCCTCAGTCCAGCTTGTGCCCTCTCACAGTCCAGGAGCACTTGGATGATGTCCGACTGACAGCTTAGGCCATCATTAGTCAGACATCATTAGCACTGCTGGTTTCATGCTGAGCGGTGCTCCCCCTGTGGGAGCACATTGACCACCAGGGGGCAGCTCCTGCATTGAGCGTCTGCCCCCTGGTTGTTAGTGTGCATCATAGCAACCGGTCGTTCTTCTGTTCGATTTGCATATTAGCCTTTTATTATATAGGATTGAAATGTAGTCTTTAAAGATTTGTCTTTTTACCTGTTTAATTGTGTTCATATGCTGCTTCTCTGTTTCTGTTCTTTTTTTTAGTTCTTCTCTTAAATTGTCTTTTTCTGAACATATATCTAAAATGAGCTCCTGATGCTTCTTATTTTCTTTAATTAACCTAAATATGAAAAGAACAGTATAAGTAAGACATAATTTAAAAAGGAGATATGGACTATAATCTGTATGCAGATTAGGGTGTAGATACTTATGACTAATAAAGCAACATTCCTAAGAAATCCTTTTGTAATAACATATTACACTTTGGGGGGGGGGGGGAATTCTCTGGCCAATCAGACTATTAACATTTTTCTAGAAATCTGTATATTCCAAATCAAGTGAATATACTCAGAAAAAAACACACCACACTCTTTTAAGCTTATGTCTTTGGGCATCACAATTATGAACTTCATCCCTTCAGCACTTGAATCCGTTCAGATCAGCAATCCTCAAAGAGGGGTAATTTTGCCCCTCCATGTATTTGTCTGGAGACATTTTTGATTGCCACAACAGGGATGGCGATTGCTACTGGCTTCTTGTGAGTGGAGGCCTGGGACACTGAACATCTTACAAACAAAGCATGACCTAGCCCCAAACATCAACAGTGCTGAGGTTGAGAAATCTTGCTTTAGATTTTAAAAATACTTTAATGCTATTTTAATAGTTATAGAAGAGTAGTCAATGTAAAATAGCAAAAGCTTAAGCAGACGTTTAATTTGAATGCCCTAGAAGAGTATAAATAAAACCTTAAAAATTACCTGCAATAAGGTCAGATATCTAAGAAGGTTAACAGCTGATATTTTAGGATTATTAATAGCAACAGCTATTACTTAAAATTTATTGCACAATTACTACTTACTAAGTTTAGCTTTAATTGCATTTCATTTAATACTCAAGTTTATGAAATTAAACTGAAATAATAATTATCTTTTTAATGAATTTTTTTTAAAAAACCTGAAGCCTAGAACGTGTTCCAGTTCATACAGCTAGTAAGTGGTTGAACTGAGATTTGAACCCAGCTATAATTCTTTAGCCCAGGTCTTTACATCTACTTTGAAGATCTCTCATTTCACTCAACAAATGCTTATAGGGGTACCTACTATGTGCCTATATTATTCTGCATTTTAAAAGTCCATCAGCAAACCATCCCTGCCCACAGGGAGCTTACATTCTAAGGGAGAATATTAAAATAAACAACAAAGAGATGTGTAATAAAATCCCTGGTAGTGATTAAGTCCTATTAACAAAGCTAAAGGAAGGCAGGCTCTAGGACAGACAGTAACTTGAGCTGTGATTTTTGGATAAGGTGGTCAGGGTAGGCCTTTCTAAGGACCACAGGACTACAGTGAGGAAGAAAATCATGCAAATATTTGGAAAAGAGAAAAATGTAACATTCATGAAAATTTAAGACAAAGGAACTGAAAGGCAGTTTTAGAACTAACCTGAGTCATGAAGCATTTAATTGAGTTAAAAACATTGTGTAACAAAGGATTAACCAAGATTTAAAATGACAATATCTGACACTTTTATAATGCCTTACTATACACAAAACAATGTCATCAGGTAAGTATCACCCCCCTCATACAGAAGGATAATCTTTGACTCAGAGGTTGATTTGGCTGGAAAAAGGGCTTGCAAATGGCAGTGGGCATCTTCCAACTCTGGGGCTCTGATCAGAACTGTGCTTACCCGTCTACCATGCTGCCACTGTCCAGACAGGAGAGACTAAAAGAGAGGAATTAAATTTAACTAGAAAATTAGGAATATAGAAAATTAATAACCTATAACTAATTCATTTCAGATACCATATTAAAAATCCTCTGAAATCAGACCAGGCTCAGATTTTAACTTTGCTATTTACCAGCAGGTGACCTTGAACAAATGCTTAATCTATTTGTGCTTCAGTCACTTCATCTGGAAAATATAACAGTTCATACCAAACAGGGTTGCTGTAAGGATTCTATGAGTTAAAATACGTAAAGTGCCAGGCATGATTAACAGCATGTTAAGTGTTTGCTGCTATTATTATTAAATGTTCATCTTATAATTTACAAGAGAGGCATGAAAGTGATTAAGAGTCCAGATCGAAGGAAAGTGGAAGAGGCATCAGGGATAATCTCAAAGGGAATGTCTAAAAAAATAAGTAGAGATAGCAGGGACATGAGGAAGTTACCCTAAAAAGCAAGAATGGCAACAACACTGAGGGTTTCAAGTACAAAGTCATATAGTTTATTCAAAATAGCAGCATTCCAGGAAGAATATGAGTGGGACTAGCGGCCATTAGTTTTGGGGTAGTATTAAAAAAGGCCTTCGAGTCTCAAAACAGATTTGTGCACTCATATTCACAGCAGCATTATTCACAATAGCTAAAGGCTGGAAGCAACCCAAACGTCCACTGATAGATGAATGAATAAACAAAATGTGGTACATACAGACAAAGAAGTATGATTCAGCCTTAAAAAGGAAGAAAATTCTGACACACGCTACAGTATGGATAAACTCTGAAGACAGGTGCTAAGTGAAATAAGCTGGTCACAAATGGCAAATTACCATATACGATTTCATTTATATGAAACATCAAGAGTAGTCAAACTCTTAGAAACAAAGTACAGTTGATCCTTGAAAAACAGGGGGCTTGGGGCACAGACCCTTGGGCAATTGAAAATCCATGTATAACTTTAACTACTAATAGACTACTGTCGACCAGAAGCCTTACTGACAATAAGCAGTCAATTAACAGATATTTTGTGTCATATGTATTATATACTGTATGCTTACAATAAAGTTAGCGAAAAGACAATGTTAAGAAAATCATAGGAAAATACATTCACAGTACTATACATATTTTTTAAAAATTCATGTAAAAATGGACCCACACAGTTCAAACTAGTGCTACTAGTTCAAGGGTCTACTGTAGAATGGTGGTTGCTAAGGACTGGAAGCAGGGGGGAATAAAAAGTTGTTTAATTCATATAGAGTTTCAGATTTGCAAGAAGGAAAAGCTAGCTGCTCTGCAAGAAAGAAATGATATATTAAAAGTCTCTGCCAGGTGGCTCCCAACAACCAGCGCAAACATCAGTGGACAGATCCGGATCCCGGGCCCACCACCCACCTGGAGGGCCAATTGTGTCCCACCCTGCCCCCCTCGGGACAGGCACCAGACACAGGGCTTAAGGCTGGTGAGTGCCGCTGTGGTGCTGATCAGGACTGACTGGGCGCGAGCCCATGGGGGACCCCACCCACGCACGAGTTTGTGCACAGGGCCTCTAGTGTGAATATAATTAACGCTAGCCAACTGTACACTTATAAAAATGTTTAAGATAGTAAATTTTATGTTTTCTGTTTTATCACAATTGAAAATATAAATGAAAAAATAGAAAAAAAGCCTTGGCCAATGTTGCCCAGTAGTTGGAGTGTCAGCCCTCGCATTGAAGGATGGAAAAGCACCTGTCTGGGTTGCAGGTTCACTCTCTGACCCCTAGTAGAGAGGCAACAGTCAAAGTGTTTCTCTCACATCGATGTTTCTCTTTCCTCTCCCTTCCCCCTCCCTCCTTCCTTTCCACTCTGAAAAAGCAATGGGAAGATATTCTTTGGTGAGGATTAACAGACAAAAGAAAAAAAAGAAGGGGTCTGGATGCGAGGAGATTCAAGGTCAATGAATAAACCAATGAGGATAAGCTGGTTTGGGGAAGACTGATCCACTGAGCAAGACAATCGGAAACAGTAAAGACTGGAAGCAAGTTATGATAAAGGGCAATTACATATCCTGCAATATTTGAATTATGCTCTGTTTTCTTCTGTCATCCTCCTCTGGTATGTAAACTTCCTCCTCCCCTTTCTCTACACACACCTCCCATTCCTGTATCATTTTTTAAAGAGAATCAGTCTGTATTTCACTGAAGGCTAGCATGTTTTATTTTCCTTTCTGAAAGATTATAAAAAAGTATCTAACCATAAGCACCATTTACATATGTAAATCTAGAATAAAAATACAGGGTGATATAATACTATTAGAAAAAGATAAAGTGAAATTAAAACTTGTTAAGATATAAATTAACTCCACAAATACAAGAAGTCTAAAAATAACCATGTTCTTATTTACTGAATGATAATCAACCAATTCTGTTCTCTACATTTTAGTCTTTTTAAACCAATAAGTTTACAATGAAGATTTTAAGAAAATTTTTAATTTTATGACTTCTCATTTCATTTTGAACTACTCTTCGTTTTGACATTATGCTTTACATTCTTTCAAACCTGAAAAATTTTAGTTGTCTTTATAAATATTTCTAGATCTTTAATACACTTACACCTTTTAATAAAATATTCCTTTAGACCAGTTGTTCTCAACCTTCTGGCCCTTTAAATACAGTTCCTCATGTTGTAACCCCAACTATAAAATTATTTTCCTTGCTACTTCATAACTGTAATGTTGCTACTGTTATGAATCGAATTGTAAATATTTGATATGCAGGATGGTCTTAGGCGACCCCTGTGAAAGGGTCGTTCGACCCCCAAAGGGGTCGTGACCCACAGGTTGAGAACCACTACTTTAGACTTACATATTAAGACATGTAAAACAGAAATTTTAATCATATTCAAAATACTGACTTTATACATATGTTTATATATGCTAATATCTGACAGAGCTATAGTACTAGGGACCCATTGCACAAATTCATGCACCAGCGGTGTCCCTCAGCCTGGCCTGTGGGATCAGGCCAAAACCGTCTCTCTGATATCCCCCAAGGGGTCCCAGATTGTGAGAAGGTGCAGGCCAGGCCGAGGGACCCCACCAGTGCATGATCGGGGCCGCAGAGGGACACAGGAGGTTGCCTAGCCAGGGAGGGACCACGAGAGGGCTCCAAGGTATGTCCCACCCATCTCGCTCAGTCCCGATCAGCCAGACCCCAGCAGCAAGCTAACCTACCAGTCAGAGCGTCTGCCCCCTGGTAGTCAGTGCACGTCATAGTGAGCAGTTGAGTGACCTTAGCATATCATCAGTATATTATGCTTTGATTGGTTAAACGGCTGACCGGATGACCAGACACTTAGCATATTAGGCTTTTATTACATAGGCTAGAGGTGGGCAAAAGTATGTTTATAGTTGTAAATATGCAAAACAGTCTATTCTTATATTATTATTAATTATTGTGTTATTTATTTTACAACTATAAACATTTTTGCCCACCCCATATAAAAACACTGATGCATATAAAAACACTGATGCATACCTATTATTTCTAAAATAATACAAATAAAATACCACATTCTAAAAAAATAGACAAATTGAATAACTAACCAACAACACTTGCTTAATTATTCAGTAAATACATATTTGTGGATAAACTACAATGTGTGTGGCTCTACTGTGGAATTAAAAATGGACAAGATGATACCTTCCTTTAAAGAATGCCATCTTTAATTCCTGTGGAAAAAAATAACCTGAAAAAAATAAAAAACTTACTTCTTTATGGTGTGTTCCTGCTGCAAATACTTATCTTGCACACACTTTTCAGACATAATTAATGCATGTTCTCCCCTATTCATTCCATTTGGTACTCGGTGTTCTGCAAAATCCGTAGATAAGAGCTCAGATTCTATTTCTTCTAACAAATCCTCTGATGTTGAAACATTCTTTATCTTTGAAATAAGTTTCTTGGTGCAGTCTGTATCATAGGGACTTTCGGAGTATGTCTTTTGACTAGCTGCTTCTGTAAAGGTGGAGGACCTTAATTCTGCCAATATTTGACTTACTGTCTGTTCGGTTTCATTTGTTTTCGAAACTTGCTTTGTAAAATCTCCACCAGGAAAACTAGCTACTTGTTCAGAATTTTCTGAGCATAAGTCTGTTTTAGAATCTTCACCTCCACCATGATCTGGCATACAGTTCTCCTGTGCTTCAATTTGATTACTGCGTTCATTAGGCTGACATGAAGTTTTATCCAAGTTTAATGACAATAGTTGGGACTCATTTTCTATGCTGCTGCTTTCATCACCAGAAAACGAGTTGCTTGAGTTTTCCTTTAGTTCAGGTGTTTTCCCAATATTTTTATCAGAGCAAATGGAGGCTGTGTGCTCTGTCTCTGACATGCTGACTTGCACCAACTCACTCTGCATTTCTTCAAATCTGTTCCTGATCTTCTTTTTACATCTAAGAAAGCCAAAACATCAAAGTTTAAAAAACCAAAGTTTTTAAAAACCAAGATGCCCTATATATTTGCACATATTCCATGATGTGGAATAACTAAGACCATAGATTTTACCACTAAAAACTCTTTTAAAAGCTATTCCTTGAGAGAGAAAAAAAGATTAGGACAGCCAATCCACGTGTGCCACAACCAACAGGATAGCACAAAGTTTCATACTCTTTCCTCCTCCAATTCAGTCATACAACTCCACTTCAGATGCAGTTTGGCACTCTTCAGTCACCCCCCTAAGATGCTGGATATGGACTAAGACTAGTAACGGGGAGATTAATGCCAAAGATGGTTTAAAATTCCTTCAGCTCCACAAGAGGAAAATGAGTACCTCAATAATCTGTAGGAAAATATTAGGAAAATAAGATAGCAATGACAACATCAGAAGAGAAATTACAAACCAAGATAATAAAACAAGACACATGAACAAAGACAAAAACCTACTTAGCAGGAAAACTAAACAATAACAAAACACAGTTACTATAGCCCAAACACCTAGAGCTGAGTAGAAAAAATTATGGTAAGGATCCCTGGCAGGGACTCATTTTTCATCCAGGCTGGGATCCAGGAAGTACCATAGTGAATTCCAAACATGCTCATCAAGAGTAAACCATATTTGGCTCTCCCTCCCGAGAGCACACCCACGCCTTTCCCTTCCCCCTCCTCTTACTCAGCAGGTGTGCATCTCCTAAATTCTAGGGACCCCATGAGACTTGCAACCAGGAGAGTAATGGGCAGAGGCAGCTCATCCCAGGCTAAGCCCCGGAACCTGCCTGTCTCCAAGGCCCCCTTTTCTCTGACTTTCCAGGGAGGTGATAAAGAAATAAGCCTAGGCAGGGTACTTTGGCTCACTTCTTCCACTTAGAAGGAAAACTAAGTGACTTTTATTTCTCAGTGAGCCAAAGCAGCCCTGCCCAGGCCCACTCCTGCTGTTTCTTCTGTCCTAAGCCCTTCCTTGTTTCACTTTCCCCACCTTTAATAAGAAAAAGAAAGAGAAGAAACAATATTCAGTGTAACTAGAGTGGAGGCACTGCCTAGGTCATAAAAGCAATATTTACAAAACTAACTCAATATTGTTAGAATCCATTTTTTTTGCGGGGGGCGGGGGGGTTGTTTTGTTTTTTTTTGTTACATGAGGGTTACTATTCTAGCTATTTCCAGAAAATAATTCAATCTTGATGATTTTGTCAGATATCAACAAAGCATATACATGGTGGATGAATTACTGGAGTCAGATAAGTTGGGTAAAATGTGGGCAAGTCATAGTTTTGACAGCAACTAGGAGAGAAGTAACTCCAGATGGAAGGTGAACTTATAAAAAACAAAACAAAAAATTCAATTATTGAGTAACAGAAAGGTGCATGTTCATTTTGGTCTATGGATGGAGGTGGTGGTGAGAGGATGGTGAAAAAGCATAAGAGGATAGCTAGGTACAATGCTCATCAGAATGATATACAGGAGTGAATTTTGTTAAGGACAATATCATGATCAACTGGGACATAATTGATTAACCTACAGAGCTTTAGCATATAGTAGGTTCTCAAATATTTGTTGAATTAAGGCACAGAATTGACATTTCTAGGAATGCAGAACACAGGAAGAATAATTCTAGGAAAGGAAGAGAAGACCAGCTTGTTTGTCAAATACCTTGCCTTTGAGTATAGACTGTCCTTTGGGGTATCAACTAATAATGGCATTCGTCCTAATACTCTGAATTGAAACGGATTTCCAAACAGTCAGATAGAAATTACCATTATCTTGCTGCATATATGTTATAACTAAGACATAGCCCACACTAGTATTAAAGCTTGGTTTAGACAAAACAGGTAAGTGCAGTAAGTTGATATGACCTCATGAGTATGCTGCATTTCAAAATCTAGGACAAAGTAAAATCATTCTCAAACAGGGGCATTATCTTCCCCAGCGTAACTCACTTTCACTGTGAATGTGTTGCTGCTGAATTTGAACTTTTAATTTAGAAATCAATCTAAAAGCTAAGGAAGGAAGTGGTTCTGAACAACATAGCTAGTCCATGTTGTATCAACTGAAGTAGAACTCAGAGCTGACCAAAATGTAATGGACAGCAGATGAAGAATCTATTTAAAAGACAGTAAGTCTCTAAAGACATTGCAACTCTCCAGAACAGATAGAGCAAGTGAGAAGAAACTTGCTCATTTGAGCACTTCATGAATTTTTACTGTCATGCTTTGTCAAAAAAACGCACTAAGCAAATATTGGCTCCTATCCCCTCATCCAGCTTTCATAATCTCCAGGGTTTCAGTCCTCAACTTTATTTTCCCTCCCACAATTCACCCACTTCCATGCCTTGCGCCAACAACTCATAATTGATGCCCACAATATTTTCAGTCCTGTTCTTAAGTTACAGACAACAGATTATCTATACCTTCATTTTCACTCTATCTCTGTATCTATATTGAAATCTCCACCTGAATATAGGCAATTCCACTAAATGTTCCACCATAACCTCATACTCAAAATGGCTAAGTCTAAAGTCCAATGAACAGCTCCAATGATTGAGTACCCCCACTTAATCTTTTTTTGTCAATAGTATCATTTTTCTTAGTCATGACTCCTTTTCCTTTGTCTTCTTTTTTACCAATTTCATGTCTCCTACAATTATATCTTCCTTTCTACTGTCACTGTTCCTACATGCAACCCAATCTAGGCCTGACCACTTCATATAAGGACACTTGAATTGTTGGTTTCTCAATCTCACTCCATTCGTCCCTCCTGTTTTCCTTCCTGCAACTCCAAGTGGAGAAGCAAGGTTGATTAAAGGGCAAGTGGCTTGAGACAACACTAGGACAAGTGTCACTCAATCCAGAGAAGGAGTGGAAGTTTGTAATATTGGCTCTGCAAAAAAAAAACAACAAAAAAAAAAACGGGGAACAGAAGGGCCCCATGAATGGCAGAAGGGGTCAAGAAGCTACAACATCGCCCCTAAAAATACCCACACACATCACCTCCACAGAGCCCACCATCAAATGCAACCAGATGAATTAGAGTAAGGTCAGGGCTATCTCTTCCCTCTTTAAAGGTTTGGGTAATGAAAACTCTGCCCCCACTGACTGGTCTTCCCTCTACTCCAAAACGGCTAGTTAGAGAAAGGAAAGGGAACATATTTTAGAGCCAGATTATACCTCCTCTTCAAGCCGCTGGGAACCTTTCTTTAGGAAGAAAATGTGAGTTTTTAAAAATTATTGAAACCTGGCTTGATTTCTGGAATGAGTTTTCTCTAGTAACCAAAAGTTGCAGAAAAGTTATGTCACCAAACCAACGTATTATTAAGGAGCAGCGCTTCAGAGGGAAGTGAAGGGAGATGGGGGCATTTTGCACAGTATGATTGGAGACCCCTTGAGGAAAAAACCCACAAAAGCATTTCATGTTCATATTTCAGAGCTGTGATTCCTCCAGTAAACCAGTTGTACGACTTTTCCCATCTTATCTCTCAACACATTCCTAAAAGCCTAGTACTTCACTATCCTCTCCTAGTCCCTGACTAGTCTACTCACAATTCCAACTGCACACTAACCTTCCCATGGCTGCTCCCATCCAGAATGTCCTTTCCTTTCTTCTCCCCAGAGCCTAATTATATTTAAAGAACTGATTCTAACGCCACATCTTCCTCCAAATTCTCCCTCAGTACAAGTACAAAATTCTCTCTCAGGAAAATGAAAACATACTGCATTTATACTCATCAAGCAGAGTCAGAGCCTTCCTTGTGACATTCTTGCACTCGCGAGGAGGAACCTCCCTCTGAACTGAATCAAACTTCTTAAATCTCAAACAACAGTAATAAGTAGGTAAATAAATCTAACAAATGTATTCTCTACTGCATTTACACTCATTCCTACAAATGCTATTCCATTGTTCTCAATGAGAGTGGGACCCCCTGGGTTTACACAATAATCTGGGGAATTGAACAGCATTCAGTGGACGAGAACCAGATTGTAAGGAGACTTGTAATGTGCAAGACAGCACAGAACAACAAAAATTTGTCTCATTCTGCTGGATATTTATCTAGGTAAACAAACAAACAAAAGTCCCTGATTTTATGATTTTCTCAGCTGAGACAGTTTTACCATCCTCCTCCTGTAAATTACAGACTGCTTAGTTTAACCTCAAAAGACAAGTACTTTCTATAGTGTTGCTCAGTAATATGCCCATGATCTTTGAAAAAGTCTTCATATAACATGGCATCTGATAGCCACTTAGCTTTCAAACTTAGTTTCCTGATGCTTAAATGGAGGCAAAAGGAAAAGGAAGGGTTAATGAAGATCCATGTGTATACATGTAACAACGCTATCACCAAGGATTAAATAACTATACAAGAATGGTGAGGGGAGTGGGACCACGATGAGTCTGATTATGTCCATGATTAACCAGGGGAAGAAAAACAGCTGAGTCCTCTTGTGGGCCTCCAGTTGGTAGTGCTGATGTAGACCAATCTGTTTGCTGTCCAAGTCTCTTCGGGAGTTGGGGGAGGAAATATTGCCATCAAAGCTACTGAGGATTGAATAATCTAGAAGTAGATTAAAGAGGGAGGATGTAAAACTAGACACTTGTTTACAACACTGGTTTAATAAGTGCTTGTATAAATTAAATTAACACTCATTTAGATATAGTGATTACAATTAAAGTTACAATATCTTTTGCTTTTTGATGTAAAAAGTAACAGTTATCTGACTTTTAGCAGCTATAGCTCATTAGAGGAAAATACTGTAGTATTTACAACTTAGCACAGTCATAAAATCCTCTTAATTCAGCACCTTTTCCCCCAGAGCTGTTTGTTTCTGACACAGTACTACAGGACCAATTCACACTTCTAAATTGTTTCAGTGAAGTGAGAACTGGTTTCGCTCTTACTGGAGCTCATCAGCTGTAGGCAACTGGTCAAGAAACATTTTTTATTTGCCTCAAGCCAACCATTATCCACCTTGGATTTTATTTCTTCATGAAAGAACTCACATTTCTACAAAATTATTCCCATACAAGAGCCATATAAATGAAAACACTGTCTTTAACAGGTTTGTTTTCCCGGTAAATTAGCAGTATAAACAACAAAAAACTTAAGCATATTCAATACATTGCAAATACAAATGAATCCAATCCACAGATTTTGGTAAAAGGCCTCATACAAAAGTATCGTCAGAAATACATTCCAAACTAGAAGGTAATTCATTCACAAATATGAATTGAGCGTGTATTATGTGCAGAGACTGTTCTATATTTTAGGAGCATAGCAATAAATAAAAATCTTTTATGGAGATTACATTCTGATATAGTGGAGCAATATATAGAAGCTCTATGTTAAATTTCTTACTCTTGGTGTTTACAGTATTTTAATTTGAAGATCTATCAATGCTATCTAGCTTCATGAGTGTTTTTTAACACACTGTGATGGATCACGATAATTCTTGCTTGATATTACAGAGATTTACAAAGTATCATACTTTAGAAAGATATTAGCTTATAAGAACCTGTAATAAATAACTTCAAAATGCAATGGGTATTTGATTTTAAAGCCTGCCTTTAACATTTATGTAAACATTTTTTGTACTCGTTCAATAGAAACTTATCTGTAAAGCTAGCAATAAAACTACTGGTCCACAATGTGTTAAGTCCAACGGAAAAATCTGACTCAGTTCAGCATATTATTTACAACTACAAAATTTTAAATTACAAACTATACCATTTGAGTCTCAAATAATATCAGCTATATATTTTTCAAATACTGTCCATTAAGATAAGCAAGTAAAGCCTGTGAGAGGATTCTGTTCTTCAATGTAATGATTTACCATCCTTTTACAGACAAGTACATTAAAAAGGTTTTTACATAGTCCCCAAATAAACTTTGAAAGCAGCCGAATCAAATGAATAGTTATCTTTCTGACCAACTCTAACAAGGTTCTGATATCACAATTAAAGTCAGAAGCAAAAAATGATATCAAAAGACACCTGTAGCCCAACATAATCTGATCTCAACCCCTAAGTAAATGATTTTTAATAGTATTCACTTTAAAAGACAAACACTTTCCTGGATAAAGTTTTTAAAAATAGAATAAAATAATAGAACAGAAAAGAACCTGTATAAGAAACATAAAAACACTGCTTCACATGAAAATATTTGACACTGAAGTTCACAGAAGGTGAATTTATGAAAATCAAATTCTACTTTTAAAAGAGCTGGCTACTACCAAGAATTCCAGATTAGTCTGATCAAAAGGAAGAAATATTTTGTAAAGTAGTCACAATGTAATTAAGCTTTTGGGTAAAATTTAACTTTATAATATTGGATTTCCTTTACATGAAATATAATCACTAGATTTTTAAAGCTGGCTTTAGTCCACCAGATTAAAATGTATGTCATATGAGGCCAAGGTCAATTATCCCTGTAGGGGTTTGTTAACCTTTGCACCCAAGACTCAGGGCAGGGTGCATTTTTTGATATATGCATTATATCACAAATAGATGTTAAAAACAGACTCAAGGCAATCGGTGCAGCAGGATCCCTCACACCATAGTACCAAATGCCGCGACAGAACACCTGGAGAAAGAAATTATGGTTCATTAAGATTCCAGGAAAACGAGGTAAGTGGACACATCATATATCACATTATCAAGTTATATGTCATATTATCAGCTTGGCATCTTAGATCAAGGCAATTTTATATATTTCTAATAGTAACTTTTAAAGCAGAAAGTTATAAATATAGAAATCTTACTTTGAGGCTGCTTGTATAAAACTCACAATCGAATTTTAATAAGTCAAGGAAAACATTAAGTATTTTCCACTAATTATTTTCCCCAAAAATCTGAAAACTAAAAGGAGGAAAAAATTAACTACAGTTCTTTTCAAAAAGAAAGGCTAATAACCTAAAAAAAGAAAGAAAAAGAAAAAAGATAAGTAATAAGTGTGCCTTACATTATGGAGTTCTGATTGTTTAAATTTTGAAACCACCTTTGGCCTGGGCTTGATTAATTTGATATGATGTAGTTTACCAAAAAATCAAATTATTCATGTCTTTTAATGTCAGACAAATCCATTCACAATCCAATCAACAGTTTCCTTTTCTGGGTTTGATTTCCTCTTCATATCTATTGCTCTTTCACCCCAATATTTTTCCTTTTGTTTACTTCTTAGCCCAACTATTTAAAATCTCAGTAACTGAGAGATAAAGTTTAAAGGACAAATTTGAAATAATGATAAGATTAGAGGGTTATTTGTAAATTTCAATTATCTATGTTCCCACTGTTGCCCTGAAATAAATATTAAGTATAACATTCAGTATTAAGTAACATTCAGTATTGTAATTAAGTATTACAATACTATAAGCTGTGTTTTATTTATGAAAAATGTGAGAATTGATTTTAGTTATTTAAAGCTAGAGATAAGAGATAAAAGAAAAATCTAAACTTTATTCAAATAAAAATAACAGAATTTAAGGATTCTTTTTTTGTTTTGTTAATCCTCACCTGAGGATATTTCTTCCATTGATTTTTAGAGAGGCTGGAAGAGAGGGAGGGAGACACATTGATTGGTTGCCTCCCAACTGCACACCAACCTGGACCAGCAGGGACTTGAACCTGCAACTCAGGTACACGCCCTTGACCTTGCCAGGAATCAAACCTGTGACCCTTCCATGTGCATGCCAACACTCTAACCCAGGGGTCCTCAAACTACGGCCCATGGGCCACATGCAAATATAAATATTGTATTTGTTCCCGTTTTGTCTTTTTACTTCAAAATAAGATATGTGCAGTTTGCATAGGAATTTGTTCATAGTTTTTTTTAAAACTATAGTCCGGCCCTCCAACGGTCTGAGGGACAGTGAACTGGCCCCCTGTTTATAAAGTTTGAGGACCCCTGCTCTAACCACTGAGAAACACAGGCCAGATGAAGGATTCTTTAACATGTAACTGTTCCATGAATTAGTGCAGATTACTAGCCATTCTTCAAAGGCAAAGATGATTTTTCTAAGTCTGTAAATAAGGCTGCTTTGTCCTATCATTTCTCCCTAAAGAATGAGAATACTGCTGCACTGTTCTACCTTCCCTCCACCATGTCAGCATATAGCTGTAAGATGTTTTTAAATTAAATATACTAAGCAATCATCATTAGCTGTGCTGTCATTGTATCGCATCAAAAAGCAACTCTTGAGTTTATGGGTAAAGGAATAAAAGGTTATAGAGTGGTTACTGTGCTATACCACCCCTTTTGCGTTAGCAATAAATAAGACACTGACATGCCCATGACACTGCTTAAAGAAATCTCCAAGTTTACATGCAGGTATTCTGAATTAGACACGGTCCTAAAAATAAAATCAATCTCAACACAATCCATGCATTTCTGGGGAGTAAAAGCAATACGTATAAACACATGCAGGGCATTTCCAGGTAGATTCCTCAGTAATTATACATGCTTGTCTGTTACAATGTAAAAGAGGAGTTTTAATTCTTTAAATTCTGCAAGATTTGTGAATTACTCAATACCATGACCGAATCTGAAATAACATGAAAAGACCATAAGGGAAGGGGGAAAAGAACGAGGCAATCATCCCTGTTTTCTATTTGAGTAACGATGAATAAAGAATTGAAAAGTAGCTGTACAGAGGGAGCAGTAAACTTGATACACAAGCAGCTAGTTCAGTTTCACTATCAACGCCTTTAGAACCTTAATCTTTCCCACAAGATCAACACTGCACATATCAAGGTGTCCTTAGCAGTTGGGAAGGCTACACCCACTGGCATACCTAAACATTTAATAGATCTTTTTTTTTTTTCCTGAATGACTAACCAGCACACCTTTTGAAACACTGTTCCAATGATTTACTGCACATTTTCCTTAGAAAAACTCCCAGTCTATCTTTTGGAAGAAATAAAAAAGCTGGGCATCAAGGGACCGTGACACAGGTACCGAGAAAACGACCAAAATGCCTGGGACCCGATGGCATATTTTTACTATTCTGTCGGATTCATGGGTAAAAAAAAATATGCCATCGGGTCCCAGGTATTAGAAAGAGGCGGTTTCTAATACCAACGTTTTGACTCCAAAGGCAGGTCTCTTTCCTCTAAACAAAATGAAGATATGAATATTGGCTGTACTTAGTAAACTGTTAACAGCTGAGCAACCCCCACACCTGCAGGGTTCCCCAGGATCGCACTGCGGGACCCGTAGAAGGTGCCTTCCCATGGCACAGGTTCCAGCGGTTCTCAACCTGTGGGTCGCGACCCCTTTGGCGGTCGAACGACCCTTTCACAGGGGTCTCCTAAGACCATCCTGCATATCAGATATTGACATGACGATTCATAACAGTAGCAACATGACAGTTATGAAGTAGCAAAGAAAATAATTTTATGGTTGGGTCACAACATGAGGAACTGTATTTAAAGGGCC